ACATACTGTCAGTAATCGCGTTTGATGATGTCGGAAAAGCCGACATAGGCAATAAATTGCAAGCGTTGTCAGAACGGGAAGTAATAAAAAATATTTAAATAGAGACAGTGTTCAGATATAATTAAAATGGGATACAATAACTTTAATTTCTTATCTTTAAATTAGTACGACCTACAATTTTTTACCGCGCATGTGGTTTGAACTATTTTATTTGCAAGATAATCCCAGCGGCACTCCGCCCGCGTCTCGCCCCACACCGCACCGTACGATTGTCTGTCCAGACGCCTTCGATGACCGACTGTTAGTAGACTGTGACAATACTATGAGCGCAGGATAAGAATAACATTGTTTTTAATTATTTTATTTATTTTCTGATTAATACATCCAAAATGCGATCGCAGCATAAAACTAATGACAATTAAAAACATATTATATTTATGTATGTATGATGAGATATAGCAGATCATTATTTTTGCATGCGCTGGTCGAGTCGAGTTCCGATAAAAATGACTTACCCTGGTATTAATTAGGGAAATTCTTTCAATTTAATATTTATTTTCAGACTTTTAGTACAGTAACTACCTACGTCATATTAAAGAATACTTTTTTAATCTTAAAAATATACATTGTACTAAAAGTTCGTCAAGTCTTATTAACATCAACGAGTACTTGAGCGGTACAAACAATAAAGGCAAGAATATATCGCTCAGACATTACTTTCATAAGCGATTCAAAGAATTTTACAAAAATATTTCTATATGGCACCAATTATATTATATTATATTTATATACAGGGTTATTTTCCAAAGAATAGTCAAATTTTATACCTAAGTTCAAAGGTATGAATGATGATATATTGTTTTTGAAAATGAGTAAATAAAGTTTCTACTATTTTTTGAAATTATCTCAAATTGAATATAATTTATGGGCAACAACTACACGTACGCGCGATCCTCTGTATGTGATTCAATTCACATTTTTACCCACCGAGCGACTCTTACAAATGTGTGCGTGCGTAGTAAAATAGTAGGCGTTGGATATTTGTAAATGACAATCAGTTAAAATAATCCATTACCACGCATTCGGAGTCAGTGTTTGAATTTTTTTAATTAATATTTCTTCTCCAGTCGCCGATTAGTAATAAAATATTACTTAAAATAAGCCTGCATTGTTTAAGCATGAGAAAAAAATTCGACATTATATTTATTTCATTATCATTACTAAAATATTTCAATTATTATTATTAAAATATTTTTCTTGGTAATATATAATTATATTATTATTATTTCGTAAACAGTTTTATAATAAATTTATATTTCAAATACCCATAGTCTTTTGCTGGAAATTCTTCATTTTGTACAAGAATTCAATTCCTACAATGTTTACAAGTATATAGTAAAAGTAAGCTAAAATGTATATTTGTAAAGAAATGTCATGCAATGTTCTTAGACGTACCCGGAAGTCTAGCTAGTGTAAGGATGTAGATCTAATATTTAATTATAAAACTATACAATCATATCATTTTACAAAAAGCCAACATTCACAGTAAAATAAAAATACATTGCAAACTTCATCAACCACGTTAGCTTTTGATGAAGGTTATGCCACAGTTACATTTGGGAAACGAATTTACTTGTGTAGAGCAACGGTGGGGGTACTACAGGGCAGAGGCGAACCGACCCTTGTGCTAGGTGCTAGCGTACTTCAGTGAGTCTGAGAATACATGCGTATTGTCGATCAGACTCATAGTGTTTTATAGTACTTATTTAACTAATTTAAAGTGCCGTTTTCGATAAATATTATGGTTATAATAATGAATTACTGCTATAGTTATATGAGTTACTAAGTAAAATTGAATTCATATGACGGCCATGCTTATGTTTCTGTCATATATATATATATATATTTTTATAAAATCGTTTATCCGAATGCGAATACAAATGAAATTTAACAATCGATATCTAAAAACATATATAAAAGGCAATTTTGCAACACTTGTAGATGTGCTATCTTGTAGTAATTTAAAATGATCTTGACCGATAAATATTTAAAACTCATAATTATGTACATAATGTATAAATGATAATGAGTATAATATCCCAAATTATTATAATTCCATTTTTGTGACAACCTCGAGCATAAACGCTGGCCGTGTCTCCAAAGGTCACGGAGTCTCTAGAGGCCCCGTAACATTTAAATCGAACCCCCTGTTCCGCTACATCCCGACGAGCCAAATGTCGGTGGCCAGTCACACACAATATTAATCACCAAGTGCAACAAACACAAATAGTATATCGGGTGAGACGCAGCGAGTCCGCGGACGCGCCGCACACCCGCGAGCCCGGCTCTCACCGCCCAGAACATCGAACGATACGAGTTAGCCGTCAAAACTGGACTCCGCCACACCCCGCTAGGACGCCCGTTCGATGACTCATATACACATTCAACTGACGTAGCTGAACATCGTTACGCAAGTAACGATACACATTCATTTACATCAAACACATTTAAGTATGTAGTAATAATAGACCGGACATCAGCAACGAAATTGTCGTCTGTAACTTTTGTCCTATAGGATATATTATCTTTAAAAAATATTTTAAAGAAAATATGCCCGGTTATGCATTATTAAGGTATAGCAAGTCACGATATAGAGCAAAAAATGAACATGATTTCGATTTATTATCCTAAGAATAATGTATATTTACCAAATAATCTTTAAATTTTATTATTTCTGGTAGATTCTTCTAGAAGAAAGGAGAATTATTGTAATAAGCCCTCTGTTATCCAGTAACGTCACTATTTATTTACAAATATGTCAGTGATTGACGACGTGCCTAAAACCGATTTTTATCTTATCAGCGTAGTATTGCTATTTTTCGCTAGAGGGCTTCACACACGCGCGTGCTCACAGTTTTTGTATGCAAATGTTCCCAATGTCCGCTCTATAGTATATATTATATATATATATATATATATATATATATATATATATATATATATATATATATATATATAAATCTGTTTGTTTAAATTTACCCGCTCTATTTTTAAGCTTGCGGCCTTTTAGGCCGCGAGCCCCAACCGATGAAGCTGTAAAAGACAACAGGCTAAGAGCATCACAGAAACTAAACGCTGGCCACGTCTATATCTACGCGGGCGTCGTAGTCTCCTGGCATCAAAGGCGTTTCACAGTTCTAAGGTCTTAACTGTGGTTATTCCGTAAAATTAACATTATAATTCGTCTTACATTGATCAGTTTGTTCACAGCTAAGCATAATATACGTCTCCCAAAGCTCTACGCTTAATAATACTGCACTTAGCGCATTTAACTACCCCATCTATTACTATTAAGATTATTTGACAAGTTTATCTATCAATCTAAACAGTGACACGATTACGACAATCTCTCCAAAAAACGTAAGGCATATACTTAGCGGTGTAAAATAATTGCAATATAATTTGTGAATCTAAAAAATTTTTCTGTAGATCTCCATGAAACTCAAGTGGATCTATAAACCCTCAATTAAAATGCGACTTCGAACAAAAATTTGCATAAATTAATAAATAGACTTTATATTGCATGACATATCTTATACAATAAAAATATTTAGGTGTAATTTTTTAGCTTTAACCGTCCATTATTTACGACACCACTACCTCAAGTATACAAAACACCGCATGTGGATGTTCATGAATAAGCCATAGTAAAGTAAGGTATGGTTACACTCCGTATACGCCTCACTCCCAGGCACAACCTCTTTTCATTTCTAAGAGGATCTTTATAGTAATAAAGTGTCCCACGCGCTATACCAATTGGTGTTTATATATTTAATTATATTATTTGATAGACTTGATGACTCCTTCACGATATATTTCCTTCACCGCCGAACACGTGGTGAAATCATGCACGCGGTATAAAATCAACACTCAAAATTGCAATTAACAATTTCAGTTGCCAGCGAGTATCGAACCCGAGTTATTCGTGTACTGTGAAATTTACAGCGAGTGCTATACAACACGTAACATAATTAACGCACTTTGAGAAAGTAGTTTGTTCAGAATCGTTTACTGAATCGATTCCTATCATTTTAATATAGGTTTTTTTCCCCAAAAATAATTAAAACTACGTAAATTACAGTCACACTAAATCTGTACAGTCAAAACAAACTGAAATGGACCGTAACTTAAGGCAATAAGACTTTTAAGAGTGCAGTTTAATTTGTATTATTACTAATTCTGTCATTCATTAAAAATAAAGAAAAATGAACTTTATTTCAAGCACGTTAAAGTCTTTGAGTTCGTGGATTTGTACTGTGACCACAACATTTTCCGGAATTAGTATAACTAATTTGATGAATAATCAGAGCATAAAAATGTTTAACTAAAAATTCAGTGTATGTATTATGATTATAACATAATATACTAATTGGGGTGTCTGAGAGTGTGCGTTAATTACGTTACATATTGTATATTAGTGTAAGGGTTATATATATTACAAAAAATAATTTCACGTAGTAAAATACAAAAGACAGAGGGCTGTCATGACATATTCATATTATTATCAAGCAATTTACTTTTTTTATTGAGTTCTATGCATCGTTATTACTTCCACGTTAAATTTGATCGGTGAAGGACCACGCTTTCACAAAATACCAGCGTAAGATAACTATGATTCATATGGTGCATAATGAGTGAGGCATTCCATCTAGTCTTCAGAGACAACGAATCATTTCGACTCTACTTATTCTTCTACTTTTATAAAAAAAAATAATTAAAATATTTTGATGCCTAATATAATCTAAAGATGTCGTTGACAATGAACAATAACAACACATTATTATTATTATAAAACAAATTACAATTGAAAATATTCTAAAATATTATGTTGTTGCATTAAATGCAAACACCCTTCCAAAATGGGACTTTGGTGAGATTTCATATGTAAATTTATTCTATCTTCTCCATCTACCGATTGTGGTTTTGAAACCACATTTGCATTAATGCAGCATCGGAGTTTGTAGTACTTCTATCCATCTGTAAGAAGGAAACTTTTGTAATGTATACTAATTATAAATATCGCACGAATCGATGAGGTTTTTACATGGAAGAGTCGCTGCAGCTATATTATAGTTGTAGCACGAATGGGTCGACTCGACTGGGGCAGTACCAAGCTCTTATAGAATACCAGCGTAATGCTGCTGTGTTTCGTATGGTGAGTGTAGACAACCAGAGACTCTTTTTACCGGAATCGAGGCATTTCATTATAGTCCTCAGGGTTACAACGCATTTGCATTTTGATTCTTAATTAAGGATAAATGTTGATGTCTATGGGCCACGGCATCCACTTGCCATTAGGTGGACTGTGTGCTCGTTTGTCACTCAATGTTATATTAAAAAAATGAATTGTGAGGAGATACTGTCAAAATTGGTAATAATATGTTTAAAATATAAGAAAATGGATCTGGGTGCAATGCTATCTGCTCACACTCAAGCCCAGGATACATAGGGTAGGCATAACTTGTCGCTACCCTAATTCTTTTTTCTAAAATAAATTTAGCCTAAGTTACTCCTCATATCTTATACCAGCAATCTGCAAGTGAAAGTTCCGTCAAAATTGGTCCAACAATTTCGCAGATCAGCCGGAACAAACAGACGGACCACAGACAGACAAACATTAAAATAATTGTATTTTTGTTATAAGTAACCGTACATACTTTCATATGCGTTTAGTAAAAAGCTGTTATTTTGACATTACAAACAAACTTGTAATTTAATTTATTTGTATAAATATAAAACATCGAATAAATGGAAAATGATTGAGTATGAATACCTGCTATACGTGAAATGGCTATCAGCCCTAAAGAAATACACGTGGTTTTTGTACTGAAGCTTAAACACGAAGTCTTTATCTATGCCGTCGTTCGGCGCGGGCGAGCCCACGTTGTACCTGTGAAATGTAATTATAAACAATATATTTTGTCTCTGTAACATCACCATCATTATTGCATCCCCTCAAAAGTCCACCGGTGGACATACGCCTCCCCCCAAAGAACGCTACCTGCTAACTAATGAATAGGTTTCCGGCGACGGACAGTCGCAAATCCGTTCGAATTTTTTCCTTCCCTTTTAATCAACCCGTCACAGTTAAGTACCTTTCCCATTGTAGGGAGAAGGGTGTACAGTGGATATCAACAAAAATTATTTAAATTTAGAGCCTTGGAGTGTTTCAATTAAAATAATGTTATCAATGACAAAACCTTACGAAAATAAGAGTAAAAATAATTAGTGGAAGTGCATGCGTTATGAGTTCTGTATTGTAAATGTCACATAAAGTATTTTATTGGAAACAGATTAATGCATAATTGATATGGAATATTTAAAATTTTATTTATTTAACTTACCCTAATAATGGCAGGGAGGCCAGGGGTGTTTCATCCTGCCAGCTCTTGTAGAAGAACAGAGTGAAGACCGCAAATACCACCCATAGCTTTTGCCAACCATGAGAATTCTTAAACTTGCGCAAAAGATAACCCGACAGTTGTGTCTGGAATATGAAATGACTTTCATTTTACATACATTTTGTATATTAATTTGTTTCATACCTACAGATACATACAGCGAGGTCAATAGAAGAAAATTTCAGTAGTACCATAAATAATTATTATGTGTTCGAAAATTAACGTAAATATAAAGCATTATTTCTATTAATATTCAAAGCAAATTATTGAAAACGTTAAATTTCAAATCAAGTAATAAAGTAAACCGCAGTTTTGGAATAATCATACCAGTAACCTGATACATAGTATGTGGTTCTTTCTCTTATTTAACAGCTTTTTAAATTCTCTGCTGAACATAGGCTTTTGATAAACAAATAAGGCATACAATACATGGGCTATTTGTCCATATACATTACAGTGGACAGGCAGCTTGGTGAGCAATAAGTATGTGGAGGCGCTGTCGTAGCGTCACAAGTGAAACCTAAATCGCGCTATCAAAGTTCCGAAGTTAACGCGCTATATATAGAACAGCACCGAAATAACACACGGAGCGTTGGCCGCTCCCCGGTCTGAACACCTTGTCCGGCGAGAGACTTCCCTTTTTCCTTCCACGGCCAAACTGGTGACCCCGACGTGATGTGAATACGCAACCAACTACCATCGGATACTACAACTTCAAGCCTTCGTCATTATTGTCAAGGCCCCTACTACACCATTCACTCCTGAAAATCGTCTTCTGCAGTCTACAGCTCCTGCAAACCAGTCCGCATGCATTCCCCACCGGCATTAAGGACGCACCGGTAATCGGACTGTACCGTTGACCTCCGGTCGGAGCAGGAGGTGATGTGGCGGCGCTGTCGTCGCGCCACAAGCGATACACACCGAAGCCTAAATCGCGTTATCAAAGTACCGAAGTAACCGAGCTAGAAAAACAACACCTCCGAAATAACGCTTGAAGCATTAGCCGCTCCCCGAGCAGAACATCTTGACCGGCGGAAGATCTTTCTTTTTCTTTCCATGGCCAGTATAAAATGAGAAAACATCGACATAAGAAATTTTAATTTCTATCACCAGACAGTAACTATATAATAGTGAATAAAGTAAAAATTTAAGTCTTTCAACGAATGAACTGCTATTTGTTGCGACACACTTGTTGTATATTATACGTACATATACATATTACACACTTATAACTTATACATTACTACTACATATATATATATATATATATATATATATATATATATATATATATATATATATATATATATATATATATATATATATATATATATATATATATAAATTATATTATACCGATATAAACTTACGTATATCTAACTAATTACAATCATTAAATAACATAAATTCCATAGTTACATAATAATCACAATGCAAATATAATATTTAATAAAACATTATTTACTTTAACCACAGTGTGTTATATTACTAAACAACTGTACCGTTAAAATGAAGTTTCCTGCGCCTGGGCATTCAACGCCGCGGACCGCGTTTGCCAGTCTGCTTACTGACAGCATATTAGCACTTTTATATTGTGTTATATGGAACTGTATATAATGTGTACCTGTCTATAATGATTAAATGTTAACTTTACTGTATACTCTTGGACTTTATTAATTTTTACCAGACTGTGACCTATACACATTCTATTACACACACGCCATCTCGCTATATTGTTTTTTAATAATACTTCTTATTAAGCAAGCACACGAGTATGTGTACATGTGTACGTACCCTGATAGCGAGGTTGAGGTGCGTGCGCGTGAGCGAGGCGACCCGGTGCCAGCACACGAGCGTGAGCGCGCTGCCCGCACTCGCGGTCTGCCCGCCAGCAGCACACGCACTCGCGTTTGTGCCGCCCGCACTCTCTCCACTACACCACTCCGAACCTGATATTATTTCGTATTCGTCAACATTGTTTATCAAAGCAACTCAATATAGCGTCCGAAACGCCAATATGATGCTAAATAGTATACTAAAGTAGTAATTTTACCTACACGTGACCTTTATTATCACGTTGATCTGTTTGAGACAATAGTAGTTATATTTTAATACCAGACGTCACATAAGGCTTTACTACTGTATTGTAGAGGCATTTTTGTGAATATTATATTAAACGATATAGTTACACTCAGAGCCGGAAATTTATTTGTAAACCATGTAAATATTTCTAAAAATTTACATTTCGTTTAAAAATGGTATAAGGCCAAAACACAAGACTGCCTGTAAAAAAGAAATAATATCCCTTCTATAGACTTCCAGATGTTAACGCAAATACACATTTAGGCTTGCTACACGTTACAGTATGTCGTCGGTCGCACGTAGCGTGGCCTTTCCACAGTCTTATGGCTTATGGGAGCAATCGATCGAGCTCGACTTCTCAGTGCAAGACGTACAGAAATCACTGTGACCTTATGGACACGATTAATAAAAACTTAATACGGTATAACTAGCCGTGGTAGCTCAGATGGTAGGAGCAGTGATAGCTCAGATTCTTAGCGCTCGTTGTAAATTTCACAGTACGCGAGCAACCCGAATTCGATACCCGCCGGCACAAATAAAATCGTTAATTGCAATTTTAAGTGTTGATTTATCACATGCTCGGTGGTGAAGGAAAACATCGTGAGGAACCTAGCATGTCTGAGAAATAAGAAAAAAAATAGTTTTTGAACATATGTGAAGTTGGTCAACACGCGTTGGAGCAGCGCGGCGGACACTTCCTTGCCCTAAAACCCTCCCAGAAATGAGGGGAGCCTTGTGCCCAGCAGTGGGACGTATATAGGCTGTAACTTCAACTACATGTTAGAACTTCTTTCTTTCCTGGAGTCTGCCTAGTAAGCTATCAACCTCGTAAGTACGTATTTCCTTTCGTAACCTTCTTTGTTTGAACTTGGCTGCAGACGTCCAAAGGTTGCAGTAGCTGTAAGTTGGTTTATCACTTCACTTTTATTTAAAAAAAAGCGACGGTCTCTCTTTAGCACTTTTGGCGGTCGAACGTGTCGAGAAATGCAACCGGTACGCAGCACGTTATATAGCGTCATACAAACTGCGCTGGCGACAGGCTGCACAGTGAATGATGCGTTACTCATAAATGGCCACTTACATATTGAAATTCACTTCCCTGCAAGACACAGAGTTGTTATAGTCTGCCGTATAAAACAATTGCCACATCGCAAAGTGTTATGCCGCGGCTTCACTACTTGTATTGGTTATGAGTGCAAAGGCCACTTAATTAAGATTGTGTACTATTAGTTTGTATCTTAATAAAATTATAATAATAAAGCCAAATTATTAAGACAGTAGGTTTTCTTTTCTGTCTAAAGCCTTTTTGTGTAGGTACCACTTTTATAATTATTTCGGTTTTTAAATAGCAGTGCGTGCATTATTTGTTTTGACAGAGTCAATGGCAGTGTGGAAGTTTCATACAAGAGTTAGTTCGCATTTTCTTTGTCTTCTAATATAGGTAGTAGGCTTTGGTTTCGGTCTGAATGCATATACAGAGTCAGTATAATTACGGGCTATAAGGCATTTCATTTTGGTCCTCGGAGGTGACAATGCATCTGCGGCTATATATATATTTGAAGTAAGTTGCAAGTGTTCATGAACTGCAACAACTTCTTACCATAGGGTACACTGAAATTTTGACACTTCAATTCTATAAAAAAATAAATATTTGTGAATTTGTTCGTTGTCGAGGATTTTAAGGCGTTCAATCTTGGTCCTTGCAATGCAATGTATGTGGCTTGTTTATATTGAAGTTGACTGCAAGTATCTTCATGATACTTGCAGCCGTGTAGCAGCCACTTTTCAGATAGGCTGCATGTAGGTTTGACAGTTCAACACTTTTATAGAAAAAAGCAGAAGAGACCATGGTCGTTGTTGTGGTCGGGGTCGGTGAGGTGCGTGTGGAGGTGCGCGGGGCGGCGGCGCGCGGCGGAGATGGCGGCGGCCAGCGCGTCGAACCAGCCCGCGTACTCGTGCTCGTTGCTGCCGCTGCGCAGCACGCACGTCTCCTCGCCCGCGCCCGCGCCTGCACATGCCACACAAACACTGCTGGACGCACCACTTGTACCCAACCGTCTACTGTATCAATATTTACTAAATTACACATGTTCAAAATCACTTGGCTAAAATCCGAATAACAAAATAACGATACTGTTTTCCTAGTGTAGTGATATTGGAAGATTTAGTGATAAGGATAGCGCACGCAATCGATAGAGGGCGGGAGATGCTTTTCAGATTAGGTAAGACACAACATTTTATTATGCGGATTTTAGCTAATTAATTTTTGAAAGCTTTAATATTACGGATTTCCGCAAAGTAAAGCCTGATTTTATTAATTAATATCCTTTCGCATGGTAACCCCAAGTAACTTCCCTATATTGTTCCGTGTAAGAGGGAAAATGAACCAGAAAATGGGCAGCAGCACCTCCTTGATAACAACTCTTAACGTGGCAGCTATAGCAAAACCATGGAGCCGTATGTTCAGCAGTTCACTTTTGATAGACTGTAACGGAAGTATGGATGGATGGATCACGGTACGATAGTACAAGGTAGGTAGTATAGTATAGTAGAAGTTGAAAACGGATAAAAATAATTGTTTAACGAGGATAAAGAAAGGAACAGCGAAAACTCACACCCTCACAAAATACTAACATAAAATATGAATAGAATCGTAAAATAGCAGAGAACATTATTTACGGTAACAAATGTCTCGTTTATATTCCTTCTTAGTTCAACTAATATGCATTTGCATTCTAAACCGAAAATAGATATAGATGTCTATATGCCACAGCATCCACTTACCATCATATGGACTACGTGATCATTTGATACTCTTATTCTATAAAAAAACAAACATCATTGCTTTACAAAGACACTCGCTCATAACGCTTATAGTTAGTTAGTTATAGGTTAAGAACTGTAGGGGTATATAATGTAGTAAATTGGTAATTAGAACGGACCTTAAGATCACGCCACCACCACGTCATACATCGGGTTGTTTATGTACACGATAATCGGAGCGTAGATTATGACAAACACAGCATGATGTAATTTTAATTATTATGAAATATTTTTAACTATATAAGCAAAGTTCTGAATGCAATGAATGTCTTTTTCTGTACTTTCGTCTAACTTGTACGTGCGTGTCAATAACGATGGTTGTAACTGGTCTGCAGTAATTTAATTGCTAAATATAGCAGCATACGATGCCATTCCTACGCTCGTACAAATGCGTTATAAAAGTATCCAGGCTACAAGAAATTTGAAGAACAATCATTTTTATGTTTTCATCTGGAAGAACCAACAAACGATGGGAGAGAAAGATTCTCAATTAGCTACTTCGTACCGGTAGGCGTAGGGCGGCCCCTCATGAGATGGAATGACGACTTGGTGGGAGGTGCAGTAAGTAGATGGATCTAAATGATTTCAGAACTGTAATTTGTGAGATTTCTTGGGGAGATTTATGTTCAGCGCTGGATTTGTGATGGGCTATAAGCATTATCATTTGATGAAATTTGTTTTCTGAATGTATGTAATGACGCCATAACCAAGGAGTTATAGCACTTACGCTGGACTGTATAGACACCGTGACATATGAGGTGTGGTATTTGATTATGGCCATTTTGGCGCTGATAGCAGAAGTGAGCGTCTACGGAAATAATAATAGAGATAGGACAGTGTGACAAAATATATCGATAAAAATTCCATACCCAGACCTACATTGTATTTATGTATAATTTTAATATAATGCTGTACAATAAACAAATGTATCAGTTAATACTTGTCTTAAACACACGCTTCATAACTCATATAAAATAAAAATCGAGGCGCGTTAGTCTATCTATGTTTTTCTTCGTAGATATAGAACGGGTTTTAGGTCCCAGGTTTCAACATTGGATATATATGGTTCGAAAGGTTGAAAAGCGTAAAATGAGTAGAATAAATTAGAGTAGATAACTACCTGGTAGATGACTCTGTTGTCGGGATCAAGAATTCATCCGTGCAAACCGCGGCGGATCGCTAGTTAATTTAAAAAAATATAGGAACATGACTTGACAGAGTTTGTATGATAAAAAATTTATTCCTTTAATATCCAGGGAGAAAACAAAGGAATACGTATGTATGTATGACATCACCTTTATAGAATTCCTTCATTGTAGCAAAATATTGACTCTTTAAATTCTTGACAATTTTAGCTTAAATACTAGATAGGATTATGCTAGCCTATGTACCATTACATTTACGTTTGTTTGAACGGAACACAAAAGAAAACCAAACTGGTTGCTCAAGGGTTAGTCACTTACTTGTGAGCGTGAAGGAGTTGGGCAGGTCCGACGGCATCAACTGCAGCGAGTGCAGCGGCAGCACCATCTGTGCGCGGAACTGCGCGCCCGAACCCTTCGACGCTATCAGCAACATGTCGCTGAACTGCACGTGAATATACAATTTCAATAATCATTTTGAATACAACACAAATGCACTCTTTGCACGTCTTTCAATAGCTATGTAGATTTAAATTTTTGTAATAAGTGAAATATATCAAAGCAATTGGTGTTCCGAATGAAATAAATAAACAACGATATAAACAAAATTCAAGCCGCGGTGAGGTTGGCGTTAAGCGTTAGCCTCCGGGCATGGCTCAGTGCGGCATCAAAGATAGATATAATCATCATCATCGTCATTACGACCCATCACAAGTCCACGGCTGAACATAGGTTTCCTGAAAGGAATGCAACAATCCTTTCCTCCCCATCAGTGGTATATAGCCGGCCTATGACTACTTTAGCTTCATGATCCGTAAATTTGATATAAATTTTAGCTTATACTGAATACTTTTAAATTATAACGAACATTGTTTGTCAAAGTAATTTGCTTATATTTTGACAAACATTTATGTATTTTTTAATATCTGATAATATTACATATCGTTGTACTGTGAAAGTCGCCTATATCTTTAGAAAATGAATATTTCACAAATTATTATTTATTAAAGAATAAAGCAGTGAAAAAACAATATAGTTTGTTCACTTCTAAAACGGACAGTACAAAAACTTAAGGTCTTTATTTCAATTATTGACAAAAACGCACCAAGAACAGCATTCGTTGCTGCAAACCCTTTGACGAGTGCTTGTACAGGCAGCCGAGCCTGATGAACTCGCGCTCTGCAACCAGCAGCTTGTCGTAGCCTGGAAGATGAACGCTAACTATACATTTTGTCAAATTTTAGCAGCTCTCTCTCTCTCTCTCTAGTCGGTCCCTCATGACTGAGGATCGTGATCACTATCACGGAGAGTAAGTTTATTGTTTATGATCTCTCTCCACCGGGTCCTATTGCTGGCTATACGGAGAGCGTCGTAGAAATTTCGCGCACCGACTTCTTTGACTTGGTCGGACCACCGAGTTGGAGATCTACCTCTGAGCCTTTTGGCAGCAAGAGCGTCCAAATAATTGCAGAAAATTTTAAAACGCTAGTACTTGAATTTACAAGTATGACCCATGTCTACTTTGTAGTATTATATAAAACTACACTTAATTGTAAAATCATTTAAATGGAATATTGTTTTGCAAGATATAAGATCTATGTAAAATAATTGATATAGATGGAAAGTCGAAGAAAAAATGTTTATATTCCCACGTTTATATTTAAGCATAAGAGAAGACGGGGTTAAATTAAATCACAATGGAGTTATAACTTAAATGAAAAATTTAATCGACCTCGACTCGATCAAACCACCTTCCAACCCAAAGCGACTAAAGCAAAATCAATTCGTCCGTTTGGGCGTTACGATTCCACAGACAGACACACAAATTCACCCCGTCTGGGGTGGATAAACGAACACGCGTTTCCGAGTATTCCTATGCGAAAGAGTTTTGACTATCGTAATCTTTAAATTTTTATTTATTTTGTATATCTACTGGCAGGACAACAGTTACTTATGTTTTACATATATAGTACAATACACATATCTAGATTTTTAAATTAATGTCATCATCTTCATTACAGCCTACCGAAATTTCGCTGCTGTATTGAGGCTTCGTTTGCTCAGCGGGTAGGTAGGCAACCGCAGTTTGTATCAGAAACCGATGCTCCTATGTCACCGTTTACGACACTCACGGGACAGGTAGTAGTTCTCTTACGCTGCAAATAGAGCCATGTTGCAGCTATATTGCAGCTGTGACATAATTGTGAATACCAGTGTAAAATAGCAACTTAATGCCACTGTGTTTCGTATAGTGAGTGTAGAGAACCGGAGACCCACTTCACTTTCACTGGAAACAAGGCATTCCCTTTTAGTCCTCAGGGATGAAACGCATGAGCGTTGTAATTGAGGATAGATGTAGATATATATAAATAGCTTATGAGCCACATAACATGTACTTACCATCAGGTGGATTGTGTTCGTTCGTCACAGTTCTTGTTAAAATATTTTTAAACTTTAAATTAACGTCATAATCGTGATCATTGCAGCTTATCAAAAGTCCGCTGCTGAAAAGCTCAATATTCATTTATAGTTGCCAGGCTTGGCAGGTGGGGAAGATGTTACTTTTCTATTTCAGTTTCCCTGTGTTGCTTTTTATGACATTCGTGGGAAAATACAGTTTAGTGGATTTTCTCTCCGCTATTAAAACAGCGCTAAATTTTGTGAACGTAGGTTACGTTCACAAAATAAACAAATTTTAATTATAATTTGTTGAATGCGCATATACTCAACCGCTGTTACATTTTAAGATGTCGTTAAGTCTCGTGCGGTCTGTATTACTTTAAGTGAAATTGACCACGATAACATGACAGTATTTGGCCAAAGGAGTAGTAGGAGGTCGCGCTGCACTTGGCAGAGCGCGGCGTGGTTCTCGGCGTGCAGCAGCTGCAGCAGCGCCAGCACCGCCATGCTTCTAGCCAGCTCTACTTCAACAAACCGTGACGGAACGGAACTGACCGGCAAGATCGCGCTGCAGCTGGCAGAGTGCGGCCTGGTTCTCGACGCGCGGCAGCAGCTGCAGCGCCAACGCCGCCATGCTTCTAGCCAGCTCTACTTCAACAAACCGTGACGGAACGGAACTGACCGGCAAGATCGCGCTGCAGCTGGCAGAGTGCGGCCTGGTTCTCGACGCGCGGCAGCAGCTGCAGCGCCAATGCCGCCATGCTTCTAGCCAGCTCTACTTCAACAAACCGTGACGGAACGGAACTGACCGGCAAGATCGCGCTGCAGCTGGCAGAGCGTGGCGTGGTTCTCGACGTGCGGCAGCTGCTGCAGCGCCAGCGCCGCCATGCCACTGGCGAGCTCCAGCACGTCGCGGGCGCGCCCGCCTTCAGCACCCCCACCTGCCCCCGCGCCCGCTACCAGCTCTGCTCGCAACAAAAATTATTTTTTTGGTAATAGACTATCAGTATTGTATTTTTGCCGTGGTCAAGTAATATAAAATTATGAAAAGTAAAAACACTTGTTTAAAATCGTTGTAATTTGAAACTCGAAATGAAAAAGCTACATTAAAAAGAGACAAACATATACATTTATAGGATATAGCCTGCGACAAAATGAAATAAAATACAATATATAGTGTTTCCTATTTATCTCGGTCTCATTTTCTAAACTTCTATCGCGTGTGTACTGCGCAAATATATCGTACGGTCATCACCTTTGCCAATGTCAAGTAACAGAAAATTATTACAAATAAACAAAAAGCGACACAATATTTATTTATGTGTGATAAATAAATATTGTGTCGCTTTTCCGCATATTTTACACATATCATAAAAAATCCAAATCACAAGTCCGATATAAAAAAAATCACATACATACACACATACATAGCGTCACGCTTGTGATCCCCGACACAATAAGCAGAGTCTAAAAAAGTAACGAACAATTTAGAGCAAATTTAGCCAAAAAAAAATTACAATTTGCAAAAAGTAGGCACCTATACATCACAAAACCCTATATCCCATTAGTCGCTTTTTACGACACACTAGTCAAATAACACAGTTGGCATTTTTTTAAACACAACAAACGTGGGACCTGTAAGTCCGAAACCAACATGAGTGTATAGAGTAAAATAAAATGTCATAATCACACAAGAAGCATCAACAAACACAACACTAATCGGCCATACGCAAGATTTTAAGGGCAACTACGAAGTCAAGTCAAGTCAGTCAATACAAAACGCTGTAACTACTCATCAAACACATATAAAACAATATTTTAAGAGCATATAAATAATGTCTTAATAAATGTACGACACACAGTGACATTATTACACAACAAGAAAATATAAAACATAACTTTCTGCACATGTTAATACGTCGCAGCTTAGCGCGCCTAGTGCGAGTTTATTTACGTGTTCGATCTCGATAACGTTAACTACAATTTGTATGTAATAAAAACAGCGCCAACTAGTAACAATAATCGGAAACACAATTCATGAGTACGAGTTTATCGATATCGACCACCAAACATTAAATCGCATTCGACAGTGAGAACGTTAACGCTCGTGATTGGTTATTTCAAGTATTTTGCGAGTACGAGCGGAATTTTTTTATCGTTCGAGACGTAACTTATGTAAACTTTACACCGTCGCGATTGAAAGGTTTTCACAGAGATTTTTAAAGTGAAAGATAGCAGAGTGAAGTTTTTTTTCGCTTCGAGGATGTTTGCTGCTGCTAAGGCATTAATAACTAATAATTATAGATGACTACTATTATAACGCCAGTGTTGAAGCTACAGCCCGTGCATATTTTCAGTCCGTTGTTACACCTCGATTTTGGTTTCATAGTAATTGCTATATAAACATTTCAAACTGCCAAATGTTGACGTTACGTATTATATGCTACGAGGTCAGGAGCGCACAGGAACAGTTTCGAATCGGTTTGAACAGTTTACGAGTTATTTTATTAGTTGAAATTTTATACAGCAAGTCCGGCTTCTGGGCTTCTATAGAGGCTTCGCCAAAATGGCTAGTTCACAATCTCATAATATAATCAAAAACTGGAACCTTGATCAAATTACGAAACATAAACAATTAGGTAATAAAGATCACTATAATAATCACAACTTTGATAGACAGATGCTAATATTAAGACCACTAAATAAAAATTATTCTTAATTTTGTTAGTTTATCTAACTCGAAGGCGCTACCAACATACGACAGTGAACGAACACCTCACGGTGAGCAAACGCAAAACTAAAAAGTTTACTTCGATTGTCACTCACACTCGCTTCTCTTCACTTGTTGTTACCTATGACGTTAACTCGGTTAACGCGATGGTGAAGTCATGCGAATAATTCTGTGGAAATCGCACTAGGCACACTGAACACCAACGACCGTACGAGGAAACACCAAACTCGGCTTTAAACTTTAAGTGGCAAGTTACCGTCAACTAGGCGAGGCAGGCACCATAATTACACAACAAGCAAATATAAAACACAATACGTCGCAGCTAAGATTGTGCTAGTCGGGTTACGAACACAAAACGTCGCAACCGCATAACGAGTAGGTACACACTAAACTTGACTTTAAATTAAGATGAGTATTAGAAAAAAACGCGAAATTACAAGGTTTCCTCGTTGAAATTATGTTTTTCATTCATTGCTTGCAATAACAATTACTTGGTGAAAATAGTTCGTTTTCTCTACTATAATAAGCTCAGAGCAAATTTTTGATAACTTATTTATTTATTTAGTAATCATCATTCTCCCGATGCATGTTTAGGCCAAAACTCGGAGAGACATGATTAGGGAGCTCTAATTTGTGGATTCTATTGAATATCGACCATCAAAAAAAAATATTTTTATCTCATAAATATCCTATATTCTAATAATGATAGAATACATTTTCGTTATATGTCTTTCACGTAAGGAAAAATTAACAATTCAACGGACGACCGAAAAAGCTTCGATATATGCCCCAAAATCTCCGAAGTTGTACATCATTTTAACGTAAAATTTATACCAAAATAATCATCAACATTTGCTTAAACTATACTATGATTTTCACTTTTTAAATCATAACTATTATTATTTTATTAATTAAATAAGAGTATCATATATTTCACTGCGTCGGCCATCTGCGATCACTATCGCGCGAGCACTTGTCGAGGTCGGACCTGCCTCATTTGATCTCGGGCGCTCCGTTGTTTCGATACTACCGTAGTGTGCGTCGATTGCCGTATAGGCGTTGATATTTTGTGTGTGCCAGAGCATCGTCAACTACGACCGCAGTTTTTAATTGTTGTAAGTATTTACTTTCTTACAGTATATTTCAATTAGTATAAAATTCGCACATTATTATTATACCAAATAGTCATGGTAGACCAGTAGACTCATTATAGTTATTTTGATTGTAGCTGAGCTTTCTTACCAGTCGGAATGGAGAAAAATAAATACAAATATCAATGTATCACTAAACATAAAAAAATATCCTATCCCTGGAGAAATAATAACGGAGAATAAAAATGTCTACATGTTTGCCATATGCACTGGCCCAGATTATACAGTAAAAGTACTAAAAATCTACAAAGACGTCCAATTTTGAATGTTGAACGTTATCCAAGTTAAGAGCGTTTTTTAAAAAGTATGTACTAACTCAAATTATCGACTCGAGATAAGTTCGATGAATGCTGTTGGGCAAATATTTTTATAATAAAAAATATAGTAATTGACCGTAAGTACCGATAAAAAATATTAGTTACATTGGGTTGTTTTATTTATTAAAAGAGGTTGCAACCGTATTACTTATTTATAACACTATGCTACCGTTAGTAGATATAATCGACTATTAACCAACATCAGTTAAAATCGATTACTGCGTAACAATTTAAATATTTATGTGTACCTATTTCAACACTAAGATTCGTAAATAATAAAAAATATTAGAGATGGGCCGAATATTCGTTTCATTTTCGGTATTCGGCATATTCGGCAGCTTTACCAAAGGTTCGTATTCGGCCGAATATTCGGCAAAATTACCGAATATTTGTTAAGATGGTACTCAAAGTTTACACTGTATTGAAATGTACGAATTGAGTATTGCCATGTCTTTTATAATTTTACTGTTGAAAGTATATTTTATTTATGAGTTAAATCTACCTATATGGCGTTATGTTTTTGAGGCACTGTAGATTTACTTCCAATTATATCAAATAGAAAGCTTGATAAAATGTTTTTGGAATCAAACAAAGAAACATTACATTACATTAGTACAATTCACTTTACTTTGGTCGTCAGTTTCTCTAAAGTAAGTCCAAATAGTAGATTTCCTGCCACTCATTATTATCATATAATTATCAATTTTCACTAAGAATAACATAACAAATACTTTTTTCTCGCAAAAATCGTCAAAACATAAAGATGTGACGGCAATTTGCTTAGTACTAGATGATGCAATAACATGTCAGGTGTGGCGGAGGAGTGAGGTGCAGGGTCCGGCGCTAATCCCGTGTGGTTTACGGTAACAAGTTTTGACATAAATTGATTACGTACCGCGGTGATCCTGCCGAATAATGTTCGACCGAATTTTCAGTTCGGTAAAAGTTTTACCGAACTTTCGGCCGAATATTCGGTTCAGTAAACGTTTTACCGAACTTTCGGCCGAATATTCGTATTCGGTGAAATCCATATTCGGCCCATCTCTAAAAATATATCAAAATAGATCACAATAAATTATTTAGATAACATAAAAATGACACACCAAAAATTTTCTATCCACTGAACTCCATCCTAAGAAAACTTGTATAATGGATGATCAAGATCGGTTAGTCGCTATTCACAGTATCATAGTGCGAGCGAGTGAATAGATATGAAAGAAAGAATCGCTCGCGTAGTTCATCGCCCGCTCGGTGCGTAAAATACCTAAACTTGTGTAACGCCAAAATAAAAAAGTCTAATGTAATGGGCTGACAAATACGAGTCAAGCGACTGTGAACGAGACGGCGCAAGTGCAGCACATAACGCGCGTCCGTCAACTAACACAAAACATCGCAAACACTCAACAAGTACACACGAAACACACCTTTAATGTTATTAAAATAAGTGTGAATTTACCGTGCGCGAGGCGGCGCAGGTGCAGCGCGCGGTGCAGCGGGCGCAGCAGCAGCGCGGCGAGCGGCAGCGGCGCGCTTGCGTCGAAGAGCGCGGCGGCGCGCGCGCCCTCGCCCCCGCGCCGCCGCGCGCTCTCCACCAGCGCCACGAGCCCGCCCGCGCCCAGCGCGTACTGCGAATACGCCTGTAAATATTCTTTTTATTTAATCACAAATACATTACATATGAATAAACCAAACTACGGATATTCCTAAAAGTAGAAAAACTAAAAAATGTGCGAAATAAATAAACACCTGCCTCTACCTCAGTCCCAACTAGCGAAATCTGGTCAGCGGAAGATTAGCCCTCATTGTGTGTGTGTGTGTGTGTGTGTGTGTGTGTGTGTGTGTGTGTGTGTGTGTGTGTGTGTGTGATGTGCGTGTGTGTGTGCGTGCGTGCGTGCGTGCGTGTGTGTGTGTGCGTGTGCGTGTGTGTGTGTGTGTGTGTGTGTGTGTGTGTGTGTGTGTGTGTGTGTGTGTGTGTGTGTGTGTGTGATACACGTGCAAATTGTTACTATGTGCGTAAGAAGCATGTCCAGTCTTGACCTGAAAATTTTCTAACGCGTCTAGTGATGTAAATTATCTTATAAAATTGCATATTTTTTGCTTATTTCGTATCGCATAGTTGGATTACTACTTACTATTTTTATCATTCTTGGAGACTGAACGTGTTTTACAATGGCTCAAAGACCCAGATTCCATGCCAAAATATAATAAAAACGTGTTTTACACGTTCCATTTCAGACTACGAAAAACTTGTTCATTCGTCATGTGGTTTATTAACGTTCAAAATAACCAATTGCTTTCTTTTATACCTTATTAATGTGATATTAGATAAGATTTTTTTATGGTTTTGTATTATGACCTGGAAAGAAAATTAAGTGTACAGACCTTATCTGACAGCTGTTATAACCTCAAAAACTTATTTACTTAATAGCATTTTCCCCTGGCCTCTAAATGAAAAGATCATAAGTTATTATGTTATTATAACAATAATTGTCTTTATAAAACAGTAGTTGTAGATAGAAAAGTCGAAGATGTTGTGTTGGCAGATCGACGAGTGACCATCAGGCATGTAGCTGAGATCACAGGGATCTCATATAGCAGGGTTCAAAGAATCCTTGCGAACGAGTTGCATATGAAAAAGGTCTCTGCGCGTTGGGTACCCAGAATGTTAACCGACGAGCAAAAGAAAAATCGAGTTGATATTTCGAGGGTCAATCTCGAAAAGTTCCAAGCAGATTACGAAAAATTTTTGTTCCGTTTTGTGACTATGGACGAGACCTGGATCCACCATTTTGATCCTGAAACGAAACAACAATCGATGACTTGGAAGCGAGCCTCCTCACCGACGCCAAAGAAATTCAAAGTTTCAAGTTCGCCGGGAAAGGTTATGGCATCTGTTTTTTGGGACGCTCAAGGCATAATTATGGTGGAATATTTGGAAAAGGGAGCCACTATTACGGGCTCTTACTACGCAGACCAAATAAGAAGATTACGGGAGGCCACTAAGGAAAAAAGACGCGGCAAACTGCGAGCTAGAGTGCTGTTTCACCAAGACAACGCACCGGCTCACAAAGCCGCAGTTGCGATGGCTGCCATTCAAGAAACGGGATTCGAACTGCTCGAACACCCTCCCTATTCGCCAGATCTAGCTCCTAGTGACTTCTACCTCTTTCCTCGGCTCAAGGAACGCCTGCGAGGCAAGAAATTCGAAGACGATAGCGAAGTAATGGCCGCTGTTGAAGCGTTTTGGGAGGGTCAAGACAAAGAATTTTTTTCAAAGGGAATCCTGGGTTTAGAAAAAAGATGGAGTAAATGTATTGATTTGTTAGGAGACTATGTAGAAAAATAAATTATTATTTTAACTTTAATTACCGTGTTTTATTTTCATTATCATTACTTTTGGATCACCCCTCGTACCCGGCAACTATTAATATTCAGTAAGAAATTAACAAAAAAAATATAAACACGGATTAAACGAAATTATACTTTGATAGGTTTAATAATATAACGTACAATACTAATTTAAAGCATGATAGCAAAAGGAAAATTTCAGATCAACAACCGCAACATAAATGTTACTATACTATAGATACGATTCGGTAATACCGTCCCTAAATTTTTTGTGAAATGTGTAATTGTTATTTGCAATTTCATAATCGTGGTAAAGCCATGCTGCAGCTATATTATATGGTTGTAGCACGAGTGGGGAAGGACCACGCTCTCACAGAATACCAAAATAAAATAGTAGCTAATGACAGCAGCATAAGCATTTCGTTTAGCGATTGTAGAGAACCGGAGATCATTTAACTGAAAACGAGACATTCCATCACAGTCGTCAAAACTGACAACGCATCTGCATTTTGATTCTAAAACGAGAATAGATGTGGATATCTATAGGACAAAGCAGTCACTTACACGTATAATCAGGTGCACTGTGCTCTTTTGTCAACCTTATTCCACAAATAAAAAATATTTGCTGATTTCTACAAACAGGCACTGACTCCAAAAGCCCTCTTAGAAACTTTCTTCTTGACTTTAAGTAATATTTTTGACTTCCGTTCATTTTCGATCTATGATTCTTATACAGTGTTATGAAATACCTATATATAATAGTATATTATTTGAAAATCAATCGGTACTTACATCATAGATATTTGTCAAGTATTCGTACAACAGATCTGCAACTTTCTTATACTCTGGCTCCTCGTTATCTATAGAGAAAGTTCTATATTAATTATGGTTATACATTTGTCACAAAGAAAAGTAATTCACTAGCACTACGCACTTTTATAGCGATTATAGCTGAAAATGAAATGAAAATCTAGCAATAATAATTTAAATATTTAAAAAATGTATCTGTAATTAAATTGAGGACAACGAATTAATATTATTAAAATATAGTAACTCTAATCTATTTCTATTTATAGAGCTTAAATAACTTAGACTTGTATGGTACAATGTGCCTACTGAGTATGTACTTTAAATTATACAAAGTAAAACAACAAGTACCATCATAGAGCGGCGGTAGGAAGGTGGTCAGCAGACACTCTAAACTGGGTCGCAGCTCTCCAAGAGTATAACATTCATTGTTAATAATTCATTTAGATTTATATAAAACATTTGATATGTTTAATTGTTTTTAAAGAAACATCTTATATTCTATTCACAATTACACAGTTATACTAAAAAGAAGTTAAAATAAATAAAAAAATAGAAAAGAAAAGGAAGTAATAGTTATATTTTGTGTGGAAATCCTTTAGAAGCGGGAGCAACGAAATGGTTACACTGATACCACGACGTCTCGACACAACTTCCGAGTCGTCGTCCTCCTCGAGGGTTACATTACGAGGTATTCAAGGCACCCCCCCCCCAAGCGTATGGATATACGTCATGATAGCGTGCCAAAATGACGTGACGACACCGTGGCGGTGTGAGTGGTGATGTTTTTGTCACGGCACTGCAAGGCCGCGGGTTCGAGTCCCATACGAAAAATCTGTTTGTATGGCTTACAATAAAATAATTGCTCCCGATATAGATATATGTTGGTGTTTCGGTGTATCATTGTGCAATTTATCTACCTATGTAAACGGCATCCACGAAACAGAAGAAATCGTATTGTGGGTATAACGTTTGTTAAACAAATAAATAAAACAAATATTGAATAATTACACGCACGAGCGATACATTAAGTAGAGATAAACCGAATATGAATTTCACCGAATACGATGTTACGTTACGATATATATGTTACGTTACGATGTTCGGCCAAATATACAGTTCGGTAAAAGTTTTACCGAACCTTCGGCCGAACACTATTCGGCAGTATCATCTCGGTACCTAACCAATTTGTCGAAACTTGTTACACCACACCTGATATGTTATATCATCATCTAGTACTGAGCAAATTGCCGTCACATGCTTATGTTTTGACTATTTTTGTGAGAAAAAAGTATTTCGTTGTTATTCTTAGTGAAAATTGATAATTATATGATAAAATTGAGTGGCAGTAGTACTATTTGGATTTATTTTAGAGAAACTGACGACCAAAGTAAAGTGAAATGTACTAATGTAATGTAATGTTTCTTTGTTTGATTGCAAAAATATTTTATCAAGCTTTCTATTTGCTATAACCTTATCTGACCTAACCTCACCCAGAGGGGTAGGCAGCGACTAAATAGTCGATAGTTAGCGCCCCCCGCGCTCACCACGATGCTGCCCATCTACTGGCAGATGGCTATTCTCCGTGGCGGGAATTGAATCGCCTCAATGGATGACAGTTACTGACAATAGATATTTAACACACAGCCGGGATAGATGTATTGACTGTTGAGCGGTGAAGACGTGCTACGTAAAGCTATTTAGATTACATTAATTTCACGTACCAAGCAGTTTTGAAACATCGAAAAATATTGTAAAATGATACGTAGGAATCTTAAATGAATGGCAACTAAATTTAGAAATTTTAATAGTGTTACTGCGGACAGTTGTAAACAAATATGTTATGTCTACAGTTAATTAACATTAGTGATAATTATGTTGTTAACCTTCTCTAAAGTATTACTAAATTATAGTGTTTCAAAAATGGTACTGTGATCGAAAGGATGAACACTATGTAATAATATTGTAAATGATAATATTACATTTGTTAGTTTTTGTTACCAGGTCTTCAAAATATTCATGTGGCTCTAGTTCCTAGAAGTAGGGGAACTTTAAGGCCTCCTTATAAGAAAGTGCGGTTTTCGAATTCTTAAACCGACTTACCGTGTTCACAGGACTACAGCAGTCCATACGATACGATAACGATTTATGACTATAAGCTGCCACACGTTGTAGGTACGTGCGGAATTTATATACCTACGTAATTTATATACGTATATAGTGATGGATTCCTGACAAAAGGTCGCATAACCACGTACTGGTCATTTGAAAACCGATCTTAACGAATGTAAACAGAGTACATGTTGCGACATGCGACTTGCGTCGTACCGTGTGTGGGCTTGAGGTGCGCGCTGTAGATGTTTATCGCTGTATATATCTACGAGTGATGGATATCTGACGAAAGGTCGTATATCCACGCACTGATTATTGAAAAAGCGACCTTTGGAAGTGTAGACAGAGTGTATGTTTGCGACGAGCGACGTGGACATACTATAGGTGTTTACCGCGGTAGGTATCTACAAGTGATGGCTGGCTAAAAGTTTGTATATCCACTGGTCATTGGAAAAGCGACCTTAAGCTACGTACTTAGAGAGCTAGTGCTACATACCGTGCGTGGGGTGCGTGGCGAGCGCGCGGTCGAGACGCGCCAGCAACTTGCCGGCGGGCAGCGCGAGCGGCTCGAGCGCCAGGCAGCCACGCGCCAGCGCGCTCGCCTCCGCGCCCTCCGCACTCGAGCTCGCCGCCAGCCCCACGCGCCCCACCAGCCGTGACCACGTCTGCACACACACACACACACACACACACGCTATCGTTACCGTTACACCCTATTTAAGTCCACTGCTAGACATAAACCTCCCATACATTGTCTCATATATCCGATGACATATAATATTTTATGATACCCGTTGCCATACTTGGCAAGCGGGTTGGCAACATTTTTTGTCGTTATTAGAGAGACGATGCTATCCATCTCCTGATTTGTTTCCCTCTGTCGCCTCTTAGTACATGATACGGGTAATATTTTTACACAACCACTACACGTGGAAATACTATTAAACTTTTAAATAATATAATACCTATTACAAACGTTCACTGGTGATCATAGGTCTCCTCATTAAATACCTTAAAATTATAGTCACCACGCTTGCCAGGCAAGCCGCCAGCTGCAACCGCAGTTTTTTTTTCTAGTTATTATTTTTAGTAAGACCATCATTACAATGGATATTCTTACGTGTCGTAAGAAGTGAAAAAAGGGAGAAAACCAGGAGATTCACAGTAATATATTATATACAATAATATATTATATGAACAAGAATGCTTTCTATGGCTAAACTGAAACACGTATGGAAACTAGCGCCACCTGCCATTAAGAAGTGAGCAATTTCACCAATATCCATAGATATGTATATCTATATTATAGCTATTATGAACCGTAAATGTAATATGTAACTAAAAAAGGGTATTTAGCGTCACTTTAAACGCAGCAGTCGTTCTTTTAAGTTGGTGTGAAGTAAGTTGAAACGAGTGTGTAACACTTACGACAGTTACGAGTTCAAGGTCGCGCTTGTAGGTGCGTTCGGTCATCAGTAGCTCCTTCGCCACGAAGTACGTGACGTCACCGCGCCGTCGCTGCGCCTCGCTTGGGTACACGGTACGTGACGATATGCTAAAAGTATTAAAAGTAATCGTTATATTCCTTTACTTACTAAACTAAAAACCTTTCTTAAACACATTCAAGTTTTTTAACTTCCGGCTAAGTATATTGAAAATTTAAAAAAATCGGGAATGATCGTTTTTACCCCGTTTTTCGTAAATAATGTTTTTATCAGATCTTGACGTTTTGAGGTCACAGGATCCGAAACTATTCCGATAATATCTAGATTATATATATATATATTATCGGAATAGTTTCGGATAAGACTTCTTCTTGGATCGTTACTCACACTTGCGTGTGGCTCCAACGATGATATGTACAGCTGCCCTTCCTGCCTAGAACTTCTCAATCTCACTCAGAATCTCAGATTTCCCGGAAACGACGCTGCCACACACAGTCTTCTGCTTTGACAGTTGGCTCTTTCTGGCAGACAGATCTCTGGCAAAGACTTGGTATTCAAGTTGCGTAAGTCCCGCCATATGTATTTGGAGATTTGTCTGTTCAGTTGCCTGTATACTGTCAAATATGGTGAAGACTTCATTTCCCGTCTAACAGCCATGAAATTAAGAGTGTGATCGGAGAGTTTTTGTGTTCTTTTGCGGCGGGTCTTGTAGAACTTAGCATGGACAGTTTTTACGAGCTTGTCATTCATATCGTCCACTGCATGGCAATCTTCTAGGCAGTGAAAACGGCTTTGTAAGTCGAGCAGAAAGATTTCGGAATTTTGTAATAGAGCACGAGGGGAACGGAGCGTTGACTTCATCAGAAGAGACCTCTCCAACTTAACGTTTAGGTTCAGTATGCCTCTAACCATTCGGTGATCGCTACCAGTTTTCACCCTTGCGACTACTGAGACATCACTGAACAGTTGCCATCTCGTCATCATAATGAAGTAAATCTAGTTTTTTTGTCGAATGGTTTGGGCTCGACCAATTACACTTCTGGAAGAAAAAGTTCATCATAAAGAGTTCCTTTTTATCCATGAAGTCGGCAAGTCGGCTGCTGGCCTCTTGGGTTCCGCGTTGTCTTATCCCAAATTTTCCTACCTTCAGCTCACCGTTCTTTCTTGTGCCTAGTTTTGCGTTGAAGTCTCACATTCTCATCATCATTAACACCGTTTGGGAGGAATGCATGGCTCTAGAAATATCCTCATACATTTCCTCCACCTCCTCATCAGGATGTGCCAACGTTTGGCGCGTAAACCTATATAACATTCAGCGAATACGGTTTGGTGATTTTGAGTATAAGGTACGCACAACCCTCATCGACACACTCCCTCTTTACAACGTTGTTAAGGAGAGACTTGTGGACGGTAAATACAACACCTCCTTGGGATAGATGGTTACCCTCCCGGTGATAGAACAGGTTGCTGGATTCGAGAATCACCGTGTCCCCCCCCCCCTCTCTTCGAACCTCGGATAATCCTATAATATTCCAGCGCAACTTGTCTATCTCTTTTCCAGCTCCAGAATCTTCTCGTCAGTCCTCAGGGTGTGTGCGTTGTATGTTGCAAGGTCGAGCCGTTTTAGGTAGCAACCGATCCTTCACCGGACATTCTTTGCACCTCCTGCCCCGCCGTTAGCATGGTCGTCACCGTAGCCAGGAAAAGGGGACTGGGGGCCGTCTATTTGTGTCGTTGCTCATATACCCATATTGCCATAGTTGCCACGCTTGGCGAACGGGTTGGCTACCGTAGTTTTTTTTTGTAATACAGTAATATGCCGCCTTGAAATAATTCTAGTTTTTACGGAATTTATCGCGTATATTTAACTTTTTAAATACCCGACGTTACGAATGCTTTACAGCACTCATGGTCACGGGCGGGAGAGTCCCGTATAATATATTTCAATGTGTAGTGTTCGCGTAAATGTAAGAAATCATTATATGCCGCCTGTTTCTCTCTGTCCCCTTTTATGACACGTACGGGAAGATCAGGTGCATGGGAAGGTCTTGATCACGGCTCTATTAATTTAGAGGGTAATCGTACGAAAATAAAATTATTTCTATATTACGGCTGGCACGATAATTAAGTATAATACCAGCATTATAGACTTCTATTCAATAATTTTACAAATGTGAAATGTAATCATCACTTTTTTGTTTAAAAATAAAGCAGGATCGTAAGCTTTACATAACTGTTGAAACAAATATTTTTATTGACATTTAATACCCGATACAACACGATAATTTAATGAAAAAAACGAAAGAATGATTGACAGAAAGAAGAAAGGAAAGAGGAAAAGAGGAAGGCCGAAATATATTATGATATGATATATTTTTTTTTTTTTTTTTTTTTTTTTTTTTTTTTTTTTTTTATATATATATATTTACGCTCTATAATAATATTATTTAAAACTACGGTTGCCAATCTTGTATCATCGATTCTCGATTAAGAATTTAAATGCAGATACATTGAGGACTAATATGAAATGCTTTACAGAAAATAAATCCTACCATCTAGTAAATGTTAATCACCTACGTGTTATTGTTCCGTCTCGACAGGGTGTCGCCGGCGTCGCTCTCACCGCCGCTTAGCACATCCATACTAGGAGACTCGGAAACTATGTGAACTGTAATAAACCAATTTCTTTACAGCAATACACTTGTAATGAAATTATGAAGAAAACCCTTTGACGAGATTTGTAAACATGTTGATACATTATAGTATGTAGTAATTCGTTTAAAAAAGTTAAGAAATAAAATAAAATGCCCAATTCTGTTGTCATAGTTATGTGATTTTAATAAAATCTACAACAGTTATCAGTTTGAAAATACACTAATTAATAACTAAGATGGCAATTGTTACCGTTCACATTTCCATTAATAGTATCACAGCTATCCACGCGCCGCCTGTCCCGATTGTCCACGGCGTCGTACCCGTTGGTGATGCGCGGCGCGAAGGGTGTGGACGAGCACAGCGGCGCCGCACTGCGGTCCGCGTCCGCGTTCACGCTCGGAGACATACACAGGCTCGCCGACGACACCGTGGGGTCCTCCTCCGGCGACGTTTCCTCTGTTAATAACTATACACGTTAAAAATACACAAATAAATTACAAAAAGTAACGCACGACAATTTGACAAGTCATATTGACTCATGTCTTTATTTTTTAATTCATTAACATTGTTTTTTAATACATTAAATATGAATTACAGGTTGAAATCAAATTGACGTGCGCGATCAATACGTTATTAAAAAAATATAAAAAATTATTAATAGTTAACGAATTAGTCGAACTGAAATATAACATGCAATATCGACAATATTGACAAATAAGAATATAGTTATTAAAAAAATATATTAAAAATTATTCATAGTTGACGAATTATTCGAACTGAAATATAACATGCAATATCGACAATTTTGACAAAAAAAATAATTTAAAAAAACACAACAGAGAAAAAATACTAGTTTCTAAAACAGACATTAAAACAAGACCATAGGCATAAAGTATAAAAAATATGTGTGGCAGAACATGTAAATCAGACTGAAATTATTATAAAATGCAGAAAATTATAATTAAACATAATATGTAGAACAGTTATAGTCTGTTTGAAAAGAGAATCGTCGTAGTTTTAGAGATAGCCTAAAACGTCAAAATTGCGTATTTTTTTTTATAAAAATAAATTTTGTTAAAAGGGATCAACTGTACAATAAGATATCGGCTCGCTTTTTGAACCGGAAGTATATTTTGACAAAACTAGAATAACATAATTTTGAACCTGTCACCATAACGGTTTTCTTTCCAAACATACTTCCACATGTAATTTTACACACTCACATGTTGCTTCCTGGCAGCTTATAAAATTATGTCAATCATGGGTAAAACTTAAAAAATAACCAAAATTACAAATTCTAATTAAAATGCAGAATGATTTATATTTATTTATTTGTTCAACTATCCCCAACATTATGGGGCGGTGTATTTCAGGATAACCGTACTTACATATAAATTCAAAAAGGAAGTAAGATTCGAAATTTTTGAAACAATATAAATTACGTGACAACGTAAATTATTACTTTAATAATAAAATTTTACAGTCTATTCGGGTTGTACAATCTCAATCGAAAATTCGAAGTACTTACAATCTATTAATTTTATATAATAACGATCGTTTGCACTAACTAGGGAGGTGCCGACCTCTTACACTTAATAGTCTAAAATTGCTTTGCGCATACGCTCACATATAATTTTTATTCCTTTATTAATTCCACTTTCAATTGAACACCAGGGGGTAATTGGGAGATTGCTTTATTACTTGAGACAAACGAAGTTTTTAAGGGCATTTATAAAAAAAACGGAGCCACGGAAACTTGAGAAATAGTAGGGCAACTCGTATTGTTCTTGAATTTTATTTCTGTAACTTTTTATAAAATTAAACAAGATATAAAAATGTGTACGATTAATGTATAGATAGAAGAAATTAAAAACTTCTAACAATTATATTACGGCTTTAATTCTGAGGTGTGCCTCAGAAATAAAGCCGTAATTGTTAAAGACGAAGTGTAAAAACCATTTGTAGCTTTCGTTGATAAAATTTAATCTTATGTTGATTCAAAATGTATTGAAACAAGGACAGCGTCCGCATGCTATCGAATTTCATTATGTGAAGTGATCGAATAACAAAAGTAAACTTCCTATACAAAACTTTACTGTAAATGAAACATTATTATGTAATGCGTAGATATGTGTTCGAATATGTGCGCATGAGGACCTAACAACTAAAATATATTAAATTACGTGCACTCGAATATAATAAATTTGATCATAAATAACTAATATAGAATTTGACGTTTAAACATGAAACATTGTGTTCAATTGACTTGGACAATAAACGGTGATAACATAAAAACTATATAACTCTTTGAAACTTACAATATTTAACATTTTACACATAAAATTTCATTAAATAATTATAACAACGCAAAATGTTTGCTCTAGTTAATGTAAATAAGACGGTTAAGGTCGAGTAACGAAAAAAAAATATCTTTTTGCAGTCTTATCATACTTGATACTAAGGAAGAAATATTCGTAATATTACTAAAATGTATTTATTACTTTTCAAGAAATCTGTATTCACGAATAAAATATACACTCATAGGCGTATTATTTGTATATATAACTAGGAGACAATCTGTAAAGCAAAAGTAAATGAAATTTATTCTGAATTGTATTACTTATATTACTTTATTTTATTCGATGTACTAAGCGAATATTTAATTGAATCATTTTATTTAAGTTCAATATAATTTTGTCAAAGCAGAATAAATTCATGTAAAACAAAGAAACATTAATATGTCGAATCTAATATCAGGTCTACCAAAAAGTTCTCACATTTTTATTTCTAATTCTAATAGTAGCTTTTCGCATGTCCGTAAGAAACATAATATATATTTCGGTTGTTTTCCTTTAATATTTATATTTATAATACCAAAACAAGTTTATACCATCTTAGCATTAATTTAATTTTTTTCACTTGGACTATGGTCACTTCCTTTCATATTTCCCAGATATGCAGTCTAAAGGTATAGACTATACATACATATATAAAAATAGTCCATAATATTTACCGATATTATCTAATTTCAGAAAATGAATCGACACAGCTTACAAGAAAAATTTTTTTTGTTGGATATTATACAAAAATATTTTTCATAAGTCAGTATTATGACCTTCTGAAATTCTGTAGTATATTTCTTGTTCTAATGTGGATAGTGACCATTTAATTAAATAGCTACTGTTTTCACAATATCACGAATCTAAAGCTAGCTCAATTCAAGCAATTTATTCCAATGACGCCAGAACTTTTTGTTAGACAAATCACTTCCTATTGGTAATTAAATAAATATTCAAAATAGATGTAATAAATTATAGAAAGTTAGAATAGATAACTATATGCTATGTAAAAGTTAGATTAAGGAAGACAAATGATGAACTGTTATATAATATTATAAAGCAAGATTTGTGGATAATATAATATTGAGTAATACACATTTTTAGTACAGTCATTAATAGTAAGCATGTCCTTATTATTCACGCTTGTTACGTTTTGGGGTGTTAGCCTTATTCATTGAGAGAAAACGCCATACAGTTGAATAATCTACGCTTTAAAATAAAACAACAACAGTGTAATGGAATAACACTGTTAAAGTGTTAACTGAACTATATCAAACTTTATTACAAAATGCGTAATGTGTCTTTACGACTAAGACACATTAATACGTAATATTACATATAATAAGAAAAAATGTTTAAAAACATCATAAATTTGGAATAAAATTGAGCAGATTTGGCACGATTACACTTCAATATCTTGTAATAAATAAAAAATTAGTCTAACAAATAAAATTTTGTAATAATGTTATATTCGATTACAATAACTCTAAAAGATGTTTATTTAGGTATTTTTGAATAAAACAGATCTAGGATCCTAATACACAAAGTAAATCACAGCCTTTGAATTTACATAATACTATTTCCATTAATAGATTATAAAGGTGTAGACACACAGGCACGTACCAGACGTTGAATGCGCAGAAAGAATGCACTATTTCAATTGAATCCGTTTTTTCAGTACTTTATAACATAAGAATAACAAGTAAAGTAACTGTCCACTTAATGTTAAGTGGCTCCTGTAACACTTCGGCACTTGAAAACCAATGCAACGTCAATAAAAGAAGGCTACACATACGGCGTCACTCTTGGGGGCTAATAAGAAATCCCCACATCATTATCATCATCGTCATCACAGCCTCTCATTTGCCAAAATTACTAATTTTGGCATGCGGGTCATACTATATAAAGAAATCTTTACATAACAAATAAAAAAGATTTTGAAATTTGCGTAGTGTATATTCTTACATCGTCACAACGCGGCGCAATGAGCGTAACAGCGAGTACATTGCTGTTTAGCAGCAGAAATAAATGTAGTAATACCGATGGTGGAAGCCCACCGTGTCAGGACGTCTGGTACGGGCACGTGCGTATCCACTTTATTAATGTGCAATATAAGTAAATATTCAGTATAACAAGAGGCATATTTGGCTTGTAGCTAAGGTAATTTCTGACTACGAAAACATAATCCTCCGTTTAGCCATTTGCGAAAATAACTAAGACTTCTCAATGAAATTGGAGCAAAGATGTATGAGACCAGTACACATTTAGCTACATCTTAATATATATTAAACTACAGGTACATCACGGCGGTAAGGTTTACACGAAAGAGTTAAAGGGTCACGATACCCAGGATTGGCACTATATATTTTTTCTAAATATTTGAAGTGACTGTAGATAGTAAGTATCCTAATATCAAATATCAATGTAACAATCAAGTAATAGATTTTGAAAGGCAGGCAAAACATACGCTCCTAAAGACATTTTATCTGTCCACCCCAAGTCTTCAATGGAAGAAGCCATCTAATCATTCTCGTCGTCAGAACATAGAGGCGGGGGGAGAGTCGAGACATCAAACTTTTGTTCAGGGCTATCGCTAGAAGCCTGCGAATCCACGTAGTGACTAGAGTAAAACCTTTCTACGTTATTAAGACTAAAGCGCTGGTCCAAATCCCTGTCGAATCGCTCAGCATTGCCCTCTCTACTCTCCAACGTATCACGTTCGTATTGTGGATAGCTTTCCTGCGTTCGAAACATATCCAGCTCTTCGTAATGTTCCGGATATGGACTGCCTCTGTACTCTTCATATTCGTCTTTATCCTGCGGCAGCTCAGTATCAGAATAAACTACTGTTTCGCGATCATACATGAAGCCACCAGATTTCGTGGTTTTTGGAGCTCTTTTGATTGTATCTATGGGATACGCATAATCGTCAGAATCATCTCTATCACTCTGCTCCTCATAAAATTTAGCTCTAGACTGATGTTGGTTAGATGATTCACCGAGTGATTTATCATCAGGCTGGCGAAACATAGGTGATTTCGCTTTCTTAAGAGATGACTGACGACTACTTTTGTTTGAATATGAATTTCTTGGGGGACTGTCCTCGGAAACATAGATTGGTTCTTGCGAGTCAAGATATGGATGACGTAGACGACCTAGCCTATCGAAACGGGGAAAACCCATTTCATCCTCATCTGCAGATGACCCAAATCCTTGAAATTTCACAGGTGTTATATTAATAGGGAACTTATGCGGCTCATAATTTTTAGTCTTATATTTAGCCGCAATGTCTGTTTGTTCGTCATCTTCAGAGTAACTGACTGATTCTCGAATATCATAGTTTTGAGAATCACCTTTGGACATTTCAGATGAACCAGATTCCACTTCGGGTAAGTAGCTGTCAGAGCATTCTGAGCTCTCTATACGACGTAGATTCTCTTCGACAGTCAAGTACACGCCCCCCTGGAGCTTATCACTTTCAGAAGAATATTGACTCTTGGTAGAGTCTTCTTCTAAAACATCTTGTATTTTTTCATGTCTTTTACGAGCACTCGTGACTGGTTTCTTTCTCCTAAATGTCTTCATTCTTTCTTTTGGATCTCTTATAACATCTAAAGAGCTATCTGTATCGTTACCACTTGGAGGACTTTTTAAGGAAATATTTCTAACCAAAAGAGATTTCTTTACAGGCGCTTTCAGGGGTTGTATCGGTGGAGACTCTGAACTCAGACTACTAGAATAGTATGGAGAACATCTCGAAAGAGGGGTTTTCCCAGATCGTTCGGCAGATTTTTTCTCTTGCAATTCCTTGTGTACTAAAGGTATTTCTGGTACAGTTATTATGGGTAACTCAGATGACGAGGCCAAATAATGTTCATGAAAAGACCAACTTTTAGGTTTACTGCGATATTGCTGTGATATTTTATACTCTTTTATCTGATTTTTCGACAGAGTTTTATCATCGTAGCTAGCATGTTTTGCCAAAGGCTTATAGTCGGGTCGATTGAATTGATTTCCGAAATCTTCACGTATAATGTTAGAAAACTCTTGACTTTGATAGCGTTCACTATGTTTTTCTTCTTGACTGTACAGCTGAGAAGGCATATCGATGTCCACTTCTGGCTGGGGTTCCTCAAAGTAAGGTTTAAAATCACTGTCCTCACTTTGACATCGCATTGATGCTTTTGTGTATTTATGGGTCTGTTCCTCATAACTTAAACTCTTTGGAGGGGCTTTTGAGTATCGTTCATGTGTTACGTCTTGTGGATGATGGAATGTCCTTAACCTTTGATCAAACCTGAGAATACCATTCGTGTGCTTTTGAAGGCTACTTAATGAACTAGAACTGGATTTATCTGACTTGTCACTGTAACTTATAGAAGAAGATTTATCATTCTTTCCTGTATAAGTCAATCTCAAAACAGGTTCTTTGAAGTCATCTGATTTCGCTGGAGATTCGCATTTCGGAACAGAAGTTGGGTCTGATTCGATTATATCTTCAATAATAGTAGGAGATTCTTTAACAAAAGTTGTATCACATTTTACATCTTCTACCTGTTGATGATCTTCGCGTGCAGTAGCCACTAGTGTGTGACTGGTGCTTGCTGACCACTCCGATATAGATTGAGCTAAAGTCAGGGTACTATCACTTTTAGTGCCAGAACTACTATCAATGCCTTTTTTTGAAATTGTAGTTTCCGAGCTACATAGCTTATCGTACTTGATATTGTCTGAGCTTTTATCTATACTACTACTTTTCGAACTCCCCGCTAGAGAACTTACTTTTGGTTTCTGTTCAGATTTCTTAGTTATTTGATTGGAGGAATACAACTTTGTTGCCGCATTATCAGACTTGTCGCTTTTTTGAATAGATATCGCAGATATGCTCTCTGAAGCCGAGAGATTAGCATACTGACGAACAGTATTGGTTCCCGTCGACCATTCAGATATACTCAAGCAAATAGATGTATCTTCGGAATGAGAACTATGGGTACATTTTTTTTGTGGTAAGCCTATTTTTACAGTACCATCTAAATCTGTCCCAAAAGAACTTGTTTCCTCCTCAGAATGACTACTATGACTACATCTTTTACAAGTACCTGCACCACCAGTACTTAGCTTACCTACCGCTCTTACGGTCTCCTCAGCATTTGTCTGAGAGAGAAGGTCATCGATTGACGTATCCGAATTGTTAGATCCACACGAAAACTTCTGATTACTTATTTGAGAAAATCCTTTATCAAAATCAGGAGATAACGATTTGCTATCTCCGCCAAATACATCATCCGTATACAAATTGTCTTCTTCGAAGTTAGGACTGTGATTAGTTGGCGATTTTAATGGTTGATTTATAATAACTTTGTCTTCAATATTACTCTTAGTATTAAATGATTTATGGTCGGCTCGGGAACAGCACGAACCCGTGTCTCCCATAAGACATGTAGCTTTGCTGAGAGTTCCGCTCAAACAAGATTTATCATAACTTTGTACTACACCTTTATTAAGGCATGTAAATTCATCGTGTTTTTCTAACGGTTCTACCATATAACCCGACTGATCGTAAGGAATAGCTTTTACATGCTTTTGTGACGATTCATCAGTAGTTCTATCCGGTGACTTTTCTGATTTTGACTCATGAATATCCCTTTCTAATTCTTCGTCATTATTCAAAGTATCACTGTCATCATCTGATTCCAACTGGTCTTTTGAACTTTCAGATTGAATAGTCACTTTCATTGCTTGTTCTGGTTCGTTGCTCATATAGTAAATATGAATTTTTTCAACTATTGGTGTCTCTAAAACACTAGAAGGAAGAGACGGCCATTCCTCAAATTCACTAGATTTTCGCCTATTTAACTCTGATGACTCACAGTTAAGTGCTGCTTGGGGTGGTAGCTCTGGTAGCGGCCAATCTTCGGATTCTTGACTTTCACTAGCGGAGGACTGCTTTAATGAAACTTTTGGGATATTTTTTTTAAGTTGACTATCATCAGAGGTTTTCTTTGTTTCGTGTAACATGTCTAGTTTCTTACTCATTTTTTCACCGTCTTTTTTTGATTCAGAATACATTTCACTTATTTTAGTTTGATCAATAGGTATGTCTGGCATTTCAGCCGATGTTCTTCTATCGGTGTCTGAAATGTAAGCAACATTAGCGTTGCTTGGTGGATCTGAACTAAGGCTAGCCTGGTGATCACTAGAATTCAACGACTCCTCATTCATACTTTCAGAGCGGGAGCAAGCTTTAGTTGAATCTTCATCAGCGCTTGTCTTTTCGGATGCAGTACTTCTCTCCGATATACGAGATAAAGTACGACCAAAATTTTGGCCGTATCCAATAACTACATCAGAGGAAACTGAAGACGTTGCTGGGTATAGGAAATTCACGGGAAAGTCGTTGAGGTCGTCCGTAAAATCAGCTTCAGTGGAATCTTTTGAGGTATTTGCAGACAAAGGTGGATTTTTAGGGAATGGCTGAAAGTCATCTAAAAGTCTTTGGTTATTGTACTCGAATACATCTCTATTTACTGTTAAGCTTTCATAGCCATCATGGTCTTGTGGTATCCAAGCTTCCTCAATGCTAGTACTATTCTCGCTGCCCGATGCGCCAAAGAAAGGTCTCCATGTGGGTTTTAATTCTTCACCACGGCGATAAGCCTCGCCTAATGAACCTGAAGTTGATTCAGTTGTTTCAAAAGAACCTCTTGATTCTACACTTAATGATCCTCTTGAATCCATGCTGGATTTCGATGAACTCTTCTGCTCGTCAAGACGAACCTTTCTCCTAGATGATGAATCATCAACACTAAGAGACCCCTTCGAAGGCGTTGTAGTAATCGTATTATCCATACTTGACTTAGAAGAACTCTTCTGATCCGTATCTTTCAAAGCCCTTTTCTTCATTAATTCTCTTTCTAGCGACGAAGTTATAACATTCCCATCATCATCAAAATCGATGGTAGTGTTTTGATCTTCTTGGGATATTGTTATTGCTATTTTCGTTTTTTTAACAGGTTTGTGAAGATCTTTCTTAACATCAGAAGCTTTTGACCCGGCAGATTGACTAGACTCTGATTCTTCAATAACACATTTCCCTATTTTATCCAAGCCACTTTTTCTTAAATTTGGTTTTGACAGTTGTTCTACTGTCCGTTCAATACTTTCAGAACTCGATTCGGAATCGGAAGGAGCTTTAAGTGAATCTACCGGACCTTGTTTTTCTAAAGTCGGAGTAGGTGATTTTCTCATACCAAATTTCGATGGACTACGAGGGCTTTCAATACGACCTAGCTCTGGAATGGGTGAAGGGGACTTTGAGTTCGATTTTGAATGTTCACTAGATAAAGTATGATGGGATACCAAATGCTCTTCGCCATATTCCATAGCCTGTTTAAGTTCTTCAAGGCATTCTCTGTCTTTTTTGTTTAACTTTTCAATATCTTGCGAAATACCTAATGGTCGAGCTATTGAACAACTTACACTTGATTCATCATCAATTGAACTACCTTTGATATTAGCACTTGATGGACTTACATCCTTTTCAATACTTGTCCAAGAAGTAGACTCAGAGCTTCTAGATCGTTCTGCACTTAACTTCAATAACTCACTTCTTCTAGACTTTGCTGTCAATAACGTTTTTTGGTCATTTTTTGTTTCAGTTGGTGATACATCATGAGCACTTCCTGAACTACCGGTCTGTTCACCTGATTCTGATTTTTGTGTACATCTAGAAGCACCATTGTCAATAAAAGGCAAGTTTTCGACGGTTGGACTGTGTTCTTGTGGTGGAGTAACTATTATTTTGTTTTTCTTTTTAAATTTAAGCGTTAAGTCCATAGATTTCGATATATTCTTACTATTCTTTACATCGCGATCAGTTTCACTTTCTGAAAACAGCTGCGACATAGATTCATGTTTTAAAAATTCTACTAAGCTAGCCGATGACTCTTCAAAAGTACTCTGTTGGTCAAGCGTTTTTTTACTTTTGCTTGTTCTATTACTAGTATCTGACAGCGGCAATTCTGTATCTGCTGTTAATTCCTCATTCTCGCCTGTCATCAATGAACCAGTATCATCACTTCGCTCACGATGCAGATTTACCTTTCTTTCTTTTTTAGAAACTTGGTCCTGATCCGATGAACTGTCGGCATCTATAAATGGTAAAGATAGACCTAACATATTACTCTCATCAGAAACCTTTAGCTCGCTTACTTCTGTCAGCGATTCTTCCTCGCTAGTTAAACGCTTTACTTCTGTCTTTTTCTCTTCAAGTAAACTGCGTACGTCTTGGCTACTCTTGCTCTCCTGAATTTCAATTTGTCTTTGTTTATTGTAAATATCTATTTTTCTCCTTTCCATTATAACTGTTTGAGTATCGTTTTCAATAACGGTGTATTGTGAATTAGTCATCCACTCGATTGAAGAATCTTCTTCGGTCTTTTCTTTAAAACTATGAGATGGAGAAACTTCTTTCACTTCTTGTTCGTTAACTGGCGTATCAGTTTCTTCTTTAGCACTTGAATGAACATCCACAGTTACCACATCTTGTTTATAGTGTTTATCAACTCTGTCTTCAATGGCAGGTGATGCTGGTGTAACATAATTTCTGTCTAAGCTTTTTGATTTAGCTTTAGCGTCAAGATGTATATCTGCCTTTCTATCCAGACTCTTCGATTTCACACTAGGATGCACTTTTTGATAAACCACTTTGCCCTCAATTTGCTGCTTAATTTCCTGTTTTTTCGATAATGTTTTTGGTGATTTCTGAAGAGCCGCAAGGTCATCGAATTTGTCTTCCAAAGACTGACTAGATTTATCATCCATGCTTTTGTTTAATTTATTGTTGCTACTTTTATTTGTTTTTTGATCTTCAAAACTTCTGCTTATTTTGCCCCCTAGTTTATTATCAAGTTTCTTCGGCGATTTTGCAATGAAAACATGATCTTCTGCCTTACTACTAATCTTTGTTTCAATAATAATCTTATCTCCTTCAGTTTTAACCAATATTTTATCTTCTGTTGGTGGAAACGGTGGCAATGTGTCTTTTACTGGACTAATGAGGGTTTTTGTTTGTTTTAAAGCAGCTTCAAATAACATTTGTTGTTTTTCTTTACGCTTAGCAATTTCAGAGTCGCTTTCCTCCTGTGATTTGGTCCTTTCTTTCTCTTTACTACTGCCACGTTTTACTTCCATTTTCTCCAATGATTTGGATTTCTCTTTTGAAACTTTCTTTGATATTTGTTCAAGCTCCTGACTCTTAGCACGAGCAATATCTAATGGAGGAACGGTTAAAAAGTCTGGACGTTCCTTAAGAGAAGAAGGTAAAGATTTTTGTGTTTGGAGCGCTTTTATTTTAGTTGCATTAGTGTCTAGAGAACCAGCTTTATTTAATTTACTGTTCATTTTCTGTTTATCTTCTGGTTTTGATTTCAATGTCAGTTTCTTCTTTTCTTTGCGTTTAATTCTTTCTATGTCAGGAACTATTTGATCTTCGCTCAAATCAGATAATTTTCTTATGCTACCTCTTGGAGAGTTTAAGGACGATGTTGGTGATCTTGACGGGGATTTGGACAACGGAGAGCGAGATAAAGGAGATCTATTAATAGGCGACCGCGAAGGGGACTTTGCTTGAGATTTTATTTTAGTTAAATCATAACGCCGTTTAAAAGACCGAGGGCGCCTTTGTTCGACAAGTTCTTCAAGCAGTTTTAATTCTTCACTATCGATAACCACAGATTTTATTTCAGGTGGAGATTCGACTGAATGCTCCTCTTCTACTTCTTCAATTTTATCAATCGTATCCTTTTTTCACAGCAGTTGCTTTTGATTTATCCTCAAGAAGTGGTTTTTCTTCGAGTATAACTCCCTCTTCGTTAACATCTTCTACGGTATCGTCTTTTGAAGAAAATGCGTTCATTGGGGGTAGCCTGTGCAATTGTATAACGGGCGTGTCTAAGCTTTTTGCTCTTCGACTAGCTGTTGGTGAATCTTGCGTAGCTTTCTGACGTTGCAATGAAAACACAGACCCTTCCGATAGGTTCAATCTAGCGTGAGCAAATAGAATTGGAGTTCCTCCAGTTTTGCGTAGCATCGGAGAAATTAATTCATCGCGTAAACTTTTCTTCACGTCCAACTTATTAATATAATCTTTCTTATCAAGTTGCATGACTTCACTTTTTTCTTCTGACTGAGTTCGAATACCAGTAACTTTTTGTATTTCCATGTCAGCTAAATGTTCTTCATCAGATTTAAGAAATTCAGTGCTTTCCAGAATAGGTGAAGGTATATTTTCATTGTATTCCCAAGTCGAACTCTCTTTACTCAATTGCTTAACTTCCGGTGCTTTCATAGCCACATCGTCTTCAGAGCTAGGAATTGAAATTGAACGTTCAGAAATGCGCCTTAATTCCGTAGCGGTACCACTTACGCTATCCAGTATTTGTGGATTATATTTCGCCTCAAGTTCTGCTAGCTTACGGCATTGAGGCGGAGAGCCTTCTATTTCAGTTGAACTCATAGTTTGACCTCTATGCCAAGCCCCTGAGGTTATTTTGTCATATTCAAGTTGCAAAATTGGTTCTAATTCTTTACGCGATTGCGGAGGCGAGAACTCTAATTTTGGAGCAGTTTCAGTGGTTCCAAAAACGTCATCAGAGTCAACACTTTCATCATCAGAAGAAAACGAAGTGATTCTGATTTTATTATTATTTTTTGCTTTAATTTTTCCACCTACCCCCTTCTTGCCAGTTCCCCGACCTTTTGCTATTCTTTTTGGAGGTAATTTTTCGGACTTAGATTTAATATCTGCTCGTAATTTTTCAGCCGCTGTCAACGGCTTAGGATCTTTACAAATGGGTGGCTGTAGTACGTTGCGTCCATTTATTACAAACTTAATATCATGTGGAAACTGAGGCTCCTGTATCATACTATCTGTTTTCGAACTCGTTGCGGAATCACTTTCTATTTGACTCAATTTCGAATTCAAAGTTTCGAGTAAAACTGGGTCCAATTTTTTACTTATATCACGCTTTGGACTTGGCACATGCTGCAACTGACCACTCTTATCCACCTCCAATGTAATCGGATCTATCTTAGACAAATCTATATTTTGAGTAAACAAGAAATCACGATTTTCCACTTCTAAGAATTGTGAACTGTGATCAGCCTGTACGCTAGTCCTCGGTGACTTTGGTGATTTTGGCGATTTTGGAGATTTTGGTGATTTTGGCGATTTAGGAGATTTAGGGGATTTTGGGGATTTGGGAGACTTAGGAGATTTAGGCGACCGAGGTGACTTTGGATGATCGTGATATTTACACCTGGGATGTGCACTAACGACATGCCGTCCATTTTGTGGAGGCAATGTTATTATATCGGGCGGTTGCCTTTTATCAATAAGTGGCGACGGTGCAGTCCCATTCATAACGTGTCTTTTATGAAGAACATACGGGATGTCGTACCCATCATCAACTAGCTTCTTATTATCATTAAAACCAGCTTTGAATGAATCGAATTCTTTGAAATAGTTCTTTGGTAGATCAAACGGAGACCGCACATGATCAGGATGCACAGATGGTAGCTCAAAGTGAGACCTCTTGGTTGCGATAGGAGGAGCACTAGGTATTTGACGAAATATGTAATCTTCATCGCTCGACTCAGCAGGAGTCAAGTCAATAGATTTTTGATGCATTAGAACGTGTCGCCTAGAATTTACACTACTAAATCGAGGCCTATTTGCTAAGCTGTTTGGATCGCTTTTAGTTCTTTCTACTGTAGGATGAGTATAGGGTGCCGCAGTATCCGCCAATCGGCTACTGGAACTCGTTTCTAAAATAAGCTTAGGATTATATTCGTCGAAATGCGTTTTAGCCATTAGCTCCTCTTTTAAATTTTCTTTCCTAACAATATGTGTATGAACTTTGCCACGCATATTCTTATCAAACTCCGACTGCAGTAGCGACGAAGTTCCTGACTGCAGTGCAGCCGCTTTAGCTTTATTTTTTGCGTATTCAATACTGTCCATTGCAGGTAAAACGCGAACGTTTACATCAGACTCGTTTGAAGACTCTTTCACTAAATGCGACGTATTATTTTCCTTACTAATAGAACGCGTTAAGGATTCAATCTTCTCTTTGTCAAAGCTAAATACAGTGTCTGAAGAACGGCGACGTTGATAACTGTGTATTTTAGCAGCCCGGTTATCGATTTCCGTTTCCAAGCCGACAATTTTCTCAGGCCAAATATGCGTTACATGAGGATGCACGTCTTCTTCTTCGGTCGATAACTCGTCAGATTTCTTAGGTGGACTAACGTCCGAATATTGTGCGTATTGGTCTAATTCAACATTTTGTAAGCTAGCAGCATGCATTGGACTCGTATCTTTGTGTCTATTATTACTAGGGAATGTAGAATAAGGGGTTGGTATATGGTAATAGTTCGGTGAATTTGAAAGGTTGGCTATTAAGTCTTCATGAGATTTATCGAATAAACTTTTTTCACTATATTCTGGTTTTTCCATTCCAATAAAAGTAGCCTGCGTATCAAAGAACTCCTTACCTGAATCCGGACTTGAGGAAGGAGATATCGGTTCGAATGGATCAATATAAGTATTTTGTACACTCGTTACACTTCGGCGTCTCAGGTTCAAATCTTCAGAATCGTAAATATTTTTTTTACAATCATAATAATCAGATTTAGAATCCTGACTCGACGTTCTAGAACCAGATCTATCGGAGCTTTTGCTTTTCAACGTTTCACGTGACTTTTTACTGTCAGTATGGTAAACGCTATCTCGCGATTTCTTACTAGATTCAGCGCTACTTTTAGATATTTTTTCATATATATCACTTTTGGATTCCTGACTCGAAGCTCGTGAGCCAAGTGCGCGTTTTATCTCTTTATAGAAGCTGCCATCGGACCTGACGGACAGTTTTTCGCGTGGAAGTATACGCGGATCGTCGATAAGAAACGGATCAAGGGGTATATCGTTGTCACTTTTATACTTTACGCCGACCATATTGATCGGTTCGTGAGCGTCGCACTCCGACAGATGTGACAGCGACCGGTCGTCGTCGGACGGCAAGTCGTTGCCGGAGTCCAGCGAGCACGAGCGGGTGTGCACCGCGGAGGAGCGCACGCGGGCGTACTTCATGTGCGAGTACTCGTCGTCGGAGCGCTCGATGAGCTCGTAGCTGTCGTGCGACAGGTCGTCCTGCGAGCCGCTGCGCACGCACGCGGTCACGTCGAGGCGCGCCTCGCCACCGGCGCCGGGGAAACTGGAGGAGTACGTGCGGCCGAGCAGCCGCCGCTGCGAGTCGATGGAGCCGCGCTCGGCGAGCACGAAGGCGAGCGTGCGCGCGTCGTCGTAGCGGGTGACGGGCGAGTCCACGTACGCGTGCAGGTCGGCGAGCACACTGCGCGTATCTGCGCGCCGCTTGGCACGCCCCGCCTCGTCGAAGCTGAAGTCGCGCAGGTTGCGGCAGCTGGCGCTGCGACCCAGCCGCCGCGTGAAGCTGGGCTCCGCGTCGGCCAGCAGCAGGGAGCCCGAGCGGCTGGAACGCGGCGACGGCCCCGCCGAGTAAATGTTGCACTGGGACAGCTCGTAGTCGGCGCGGTCGCGGCTAGGGCCCGGCGAGGCGGCGGCAGGCCGCGTGGCAGTGTGCGTGTGCGTGTTCGTGTGTGTGAGCGTGTGTGTGCGCGTGTGCGTGCACGGCGCGCTCTGACCTGGCGGCGCGGCACGCGGCGGCGGTGTGGGCGCGCGCGCGCGGACAGCCTCGCGCGCCGTGCCCTGGCTCCACGAACTCTCCGGGGAAATCTGCACGATCATACCACTCTAATTCATCACTCATTCACTCATTACAGCTTATCAAAGTCAATTGCTGGACGTAGGCCTCCTTCATAGAGCCATAAAGAGGATTATTGCCATAGCTGCCATGCTTGACAAACGCACATTTTTTATTAATATGAATTTTATCAGAAAAATACTACTAAAACAAAATGCCTCATAGCTTGTAATTATTAAATAGCTTTAAATTCACAAATTAAACCACGTGCCTTTAAAAGCACCAATGTCTTTAATTGGTCCTGCGCCTGATCTCTTTCATGCCGTCAACTTACCGACCCACGACACCACGAAAGTGAAGGAATAGTGTGCACCTGTGCATGCACACACTTTCGACCACTATAATTCTGTCCTGCGCAAATGACTAATCACCGTTAAAATTTCCAACCGTGACCGAAATTCGGTCTGTAAAACATTATTAATGAGGAAACAATAAAGTATATCACGTGAAATAAATACATGTAAATACAATACATACCAACGGTGTCGTCGTCCGATGAGGCAGAGGTGAATCCTCCGTAGGATGATGATTGACCTCTGCATGGGTCACTAGCTCTGGAGCCGCCTGGCGAAATACATTACCCACAATACAATAACTGGAGTTCGAAGAGAATACGTAGAATTAACAGGTAGTCACAACAACGAGCGTCGAAATGTGCGACATGATAGTATGGTGCGTGGATGGACCGTAAAAGAAACTGACAATAGCACATGTTAATTTGAAACAGTCGCAGGAAACTAAACACATGAAAGCGTTAGCAAGTAATTTTGCTAAAATAATGCATATGATTCCTCACATGTTCCAGTTAGAATGATTTTACGTTAATATTAGACATTATTTTGAAATGGATAACATTAAATAAATACTTAAAAAGAAAGGGTCAGTGAAATTTTATAAAATGTATAGCAATTCCACAACAAATTCAAGATGTTACAACCACACATATGATGTGTCAGCGAGAACATGCTTTGTTACGACCGAATAAGGTTACTTAGGCAATTGTTGCATAATTTAAAATATTGCAATTTTGTTGTTCGAGCCTAATAAAAGTATTTTCTTTACGGAAGCTTAGAACATCTCATATAAAATACAATTATATCAATTTACAATATTTATCAAAAGCGATAAAGGGGTAGGTAGCAAATTACTTTTAATTCTACTTTTCGTTTTTATTAAAACTTACCACTTTTAAGTCACTTTTTTACTTATTTTTAGCAAAAATTTACCAAATGCCTTGTCAGTCCTTTTACAAATTTCTTAAGGCTTGTGAAAGAACTGACAAGTTATTTGGTAAATTCGTATATCGTAGACAAGAGAATGTTACTTTTATATCATAGATAGATGCACCTTACTTTTACACAAGTGAACGATGTTATTGTTAGAATTTAATGCTCATTTATTTACAAAACTGCAACAACTGTCAATATATGGCGTAACCATACTCAGTACTTACATAAAATGCAGAGTAAGATGAGATCTGATAGAATTACTTTCAGTATAATTTAGTGAGTTTTAATATGAACCCAATTCAATAAGGCTCTTACGATTTGGTTGCAGTACAGTTTTGTCAGCTGAAAGAGAAATAAATGATATTTTCTATGTGTGACAAAAATAAAAAATAACTAAAAGCTAAAAAAAAGTTCAGTTCAATACATGTGTTAGGTCTATTGCAATAAGAATACGAGGGGTGATCTAAAAGTAATGATAATCGGTTACTTCAGGTCCGCATAAAAATCCAAAAAAAAAAATATTTTTTGCTTGCTTATATTCTCACTACGTCAGCCTAAAAAAATCATATAAATAGATCACGATTTCCGGGAGATACATTCATTTGAATACGAACTGTCAAAGAGATAACATCAACATGGAGAAAAACGAAATTAGAGCTGTCATCAAGTACCTCTGTTTGAAAAAAATGTCTTCAAAAGACATACACAGTGACTTAGTGGAAACATTGGGGGACCCTGCTCCTCCATATTCTACAGTTGCACGCTGGGCCAAGGAGTTTAAACTGGGCAGAACATCCACTGAAGATGAACATCGCGAAGGACGCTCATCCACGTCCCTCACTGAAGACAACGTGAAAAAAGTCGAAGATGTTGTGTTGGCAGATCGAAGAGTGACCATCAAGCATTTAGCTGAGGTCACAGGGATCTCATATGGCAGCGGTTAAAGAATCTTTGCGAACGAGTTGCATATGAAAAAGGTCTCTGCGCGTTGGGTACCCAGACAGTGGCGAAGCTAGAGCTCCAAGCTAGGGCAAGCCCAAGATATAAATTGATAAAAATATAGATTGTTGTTTTTAGCTGTTTTATAAAAATACACCAATCTTGATCTGTCTCCACGTTTCAGTTTCATATTCAGTGCTGTCAAGGACGTGTTTAACAAAGCACATAGAAGGCATACCACTGCTAGATAGATTGTATTACATATCAGCAATTGCATAGCTTCGGTGGCTTTGAAGAAAGCCGTTTGGGTTTGTTTAAGCGAAAGAAAAAAAATATTTACATCCAATACAATACATGAACAAAAGTAAAACACGAAACAAAGTACAAACTATGTATAAAATTAAAAAAAAAATTATTTACATTCTAATGGATAAGAGATAAGATAAGATAAGTGGAATCGTCTCGCTTTCTTATGGAAAGATTTAATTACGTCCACGTAAAATGTTGGTGAACGTTTTAATTGTACCAATAACTGTTTTTAATTGCGGTAATTGATGAAGTCTGAAATACACTCTTAACCTTGTGTATTATCTCAACAAAGTTTAAAGATTTCTTCTCCGATTATCACTTTAATACACTTCAATTCTTCACAAGGAACACTATTATCCTCCATTTTCATTAAAAATCTTTAAAAAAGCATAAATTTTGAACTCGTAATATTAAATCGCTTAAGATAAGCACACAGATTAAATAAACATTGAAACGTGAAATGAACTTGCAAACGTATTGCCCGCGCGCCTCCGCTTTTAACAAATTTATTCCCAAAAGCCTGCTTTAAATCTCTATACTAATTGCTATATATACAATCGCAGTTATATTTGATTATAGAATACTTTGCCATAGGTTAGAAAGAGAGCGATCGTCTTCTCGAAAGCCCCGTAAAAAGCCCACGCAAGCGAGAGAGACAACTATTAGCTCTATTAAAACTAATTTTTTATGACAGCAGCAGTATCGCTAAGGCAATACGAGGTCATCGGTCGACATGTGTCGAACAGTGGAGTGCGCGGGAAATTTGAAATAGCTTGAAACGTTTTACGAGTTATTTTATTAGTTGATATTATTGATTGATAAGAGTCAGGTTTAATAAGGTTAGCCCGGCTTTTCGGCTTTAATGGAAGCTCCGCCACTATACCCAGAATGTTAACCGACGAGCAAAAGAAAAATCGAGATGACATTTCGAGGGTCAATCTCGAAAAAGTTCCAAGCAGATCAAGAAAATTTTTTGTTCCGTTTTGTGACTATGGACGAGACCTGGATTCACCATTTTGATCCTGAAACGAAACAACAATCGATGACTTGGAAGCGAGCCTCCTCACCGACGCCAAAGAAATTCAAAGTTTCAAGTTCGGCGGGAAAGGTTATGGCATCTGTTTTTTGGGACGCTCAAGGCATAATTATGATGGAATATTTGGAAAAGAGAGCCACTATTACGGGCTCTTACTACGCAGACCAAATAAGAAGATTACGGGAGGCCATTAAGGAAAAAAGACGCGGCAAACTGCGAGCTGGAGTGCTGTTTCACCAAGACAACGCACCGGCTCACAAAGCCGCAGTTGCGATGGCTGCCATTCAAGAAACGGGATTCGAACTGCTCGAACACCCTCCCTATTCGCCAGATCTAGCTCCTAGTGACTTCTACCTCTTTCCTCGCTCAAGGAACGCCTCCGAGGCAAGAAATTCGAAGACGATAGCGAAGTAATGGCCGCTGTTGAAGCGTTTTGGGAGGGTCATGACAAAAATTTTTTTCAAAGGGAATCCTGGGTTTAGAAAAAAGATGGACTAAATGTATTGATTTGTTAGGAGACTATGTAGAAAAATAAATTATTATTTTAACTTTAATTACCGTGTTTTATTTTCATTATCATTACTTTTGGATCACCCCTCGTATTCTAATGTGAAGTCGAGAGGTCGATCATTACTTGAGTATTACTACACCATGGTATAAACTTTAATGTTTTAAACAGACTGAAGGCAATGATAGCTCAAAGCACATCTTAGTAATGACGTGAGTTTAATGTCAAAAACTCTTTCAAAGCAAATTACAATGTCCAAAATTGTTTTACACTATCATTATTATCGTTTTTAAAATTTGACAAAGCGCTCTTTTTTAATCATCTTCATCATCAGCCCATATAAATTCACAACAGGACAGGAGCCCCTACCATTGTATGAAGAATTTGCCTTAAACATCAGCTTACAGGCCGATTTACACTTCGATAACTACAGTAGCGAGTTAACTTGCGAACCTAGCGAATTAAGTAAAAAATCTCGTTTGAATGTCAATTAGTGAGTTAAGTAGCAAGTCAAAAATTAAGGTGAACGGGATAGCTGGTCGGTCTAATTTTCGACGAGCTAAGTTCGAAGTGTTACCCTCCCGCGCGTCTCCCGCCACCCGCAACTAAACTCACCGCTCGTGTAATCGAGCGAATTTAGTGCATAAGTTGGCAGAACGCAACGTGTTCGTATTCGACCCTCAAAATATATAATTGTACTTCTTTTAAGTAAGCTCGCCTCAAAGACATTTGAACACTATACTCGTACTGTCCACTTAGCCGTTTACTGTCAACTGCCCGGTAACTAAACTCGCTACAGTACTGTACTTGTCGAAATGTAAGTTGGCTTTAAGTAACTGCACTGCTGCTCGTCACCGGTATGATTATTTTACATCTGACGTAAATGAGATGGTGATATATCTAGCATTTTCCATAGTGGTCTCGAAAGACATCCCCGGGAAATACGACGAAATGGGATAAAGG